ACCAGATCCCTAAACGGTACCTGTTCATTTCTTAGCAATCCAAACTGGGCTAAAGCAAGAGAAGGCAGTGCTAGGTGTGCGGCACATAGTAACGGTCGATGAACTGTAGCCTGCTGCGGCTGTCCTTTTCTTAACGTTTTGTGTTTGTGACACTCTACCGCCTCCCATCCCCTTTGCTTTGCCCTTACTGAAATTTCCTATGGGTTGGTATGTTGTTTATTCCCCATCCGCTACCCACCTGCCCTCTCGCAAACGCTCTCCCATAACAAGGGGGTTCAGCTTCCTCAACGCTGGAAAAGGGCGGAGCCCCTCCTCATCAGTACAGGAACGTATTGTTACCACTGGAATGAATGCAATGCGGAAAAACATAGCCCACCAACGAATATTGAGCTAGAAGTATGATGAATGGCGATCATGTGACCAGACCAGGAGGCGCCTCATCATCTTTAGTCATCCACCTCCCTCCCCCCAGCCCAATCCGCGCTGTGCGTGAGAGGCCGTGCAGGCCAGCCCCTCCCCTAACCGTAAGTGGCAGCACAATTACGTGACGCGTTGTCGGGTGTACTAGAAGCACGGGGAGGGTGAAAAATAAGGCCCCTTCCCTAACCACAGCCATCATGACGAACCCAATGGTGAAGCCCCCTCATACAGCTATCGTCACCATTGACTGCCATATACTAGGTGCCCTTACATTTGCTTTACACCAAACCACGATTTGCTGCAAGAGCCCGTGTCGTTGCTGTACAATACAGCTGAACAATACACCATAACTTGCCTAAGAAAAGGATAACGGGCCAAGGGCTAATTGCACATGCGCAGTTACACCAAATATTGTCATACTGTGAGAAATGGGACTTTTTCTACGTTTGTCCATTGTATCAATGGCGGTAATGCGGCTGGCAACAGTGCCTGAGCTGAAGTGTCAGGCTAATGAACATCAGAGTGATGTACGATTACTGCTGTCCTAGACACACAAGTGTTTTTAATCCTGTATACACGAGCTGCTCGTATATCTGGCCTTCTAATCAGTTGCAGCTGAACCGCAGTCCTTGCACATGCGCAGTAAATAAGTAACACTGCCGAAATGCAAGCTCGGGTAGGCTGCCACGGGTAGCCCCCCACCCCCTAACCGTAGGTGGCAGCACGATTACGTGACGCGTTTTAGGGTATACAAGAAGCACGGGAGGGTGAAAGGAAAGTGAGGCCCCTTCCCCTGCCACAGCCATGATGAGGACCCCTGTACCCCCGAACCGGTACCCTTCCTTGGCGTTCATGTTATCCGTCCAGGTGCCTCACCTCCGGCTCATCAATAACCATAGCCGTCCAGTGTCCCCCACCCCCCTCCGCCCCCCCCTAGCGACCCGGTTTGTTCCGTTTCTTTTGCAATGTAGGGTTGGGTTCATCACCCGTGTTCCCTTTTAGGGCACCATTGTAACGGTCATACATTCATTTATTCCCCCACCACCACTACCTGCGCTGTGCTCGAGCGGCCATGCAAGCCACGAGGCCCCCCTTGCCCCCGAAACGATACCCTTCCCAGAAGTGCAAGTCCCCCACCTAGCCGTTACTTGCTCCCCATGCCGTGGGCTAGCATAGCTGGCAAGGCATGCGCAAGCGCCCTTCTTTTCCTATCGTCATCATTGACTGCCACGTACTATGTGCTTTTACGTTTGCTTTTCACCAAACCATGATTTGCTGCAAGTAAGAGCCCGTGTCGTTGCTGTACCATACAGCTGAACAATACACCTCAAGTTGCCTAAGAAAAGAATAACGGGCCAAGGGCTAAGTTAGCCCGTTAGGAGGAATAGCGTCATTGTACGGCTGCGCTCATATGCATTTGACGCGGCCCGAGCGCCTGGCAATGAAAATGCGGGTGCATTAGGTACGGAACGTGATCACCTGTGGTAAGCACAAAATCGCTGCGCCGAAGGACGCTGGAAGACGGAGGGACCACGCTAGCTCGCGTTAGTGTACGTCAGAGCTCGTAAACTTTTAACACGGCCAAGGCGCCTGGCATGGAATGTGCGGGTGCAATAGGCACGGAAGCTGATCATCGATGTTCAGGGCGAAACCGCAGCGCGGAAGGATGCAGGAAGACGGAGAGACCGTACTAACTGCAGATTGGACGGAGGAATACGGAGGGACCGCAATTGTGTGAGACGCCGCTGTGTTGTGAACGGGCCGCAGCGGCAAAAAACGCTTTAAGAAAACGGCGGTGAAGAACATAACCTAATTGTGCGTAGGAAAATAGGCGATGCCACAAGTGCAAAGCGGTTAACCAACCAACTGTAGCCTCAGGCCCCTGACCTCTTTCCCAACATCTGCTTACCAGATCCCTAAACGGTACCTGTTCATTTCTTAGCAATCCATACTGGGCTAAAGCAAGAGAAGGCAGTGCTAGGTGTGCGGCACATAGTAACGGTCGATGAACTGTAGCCTGCTGCGGCTGTCCTTTTTTTAACGTTTTGTGTTTGTGACACTCTACCGCCTCCCATCCCCTTTGCTTTGCCCTTACTGAAATTTCCTATGGGTTGGTATGTTGTTTATTCCCCATCCGCTACCCACCTGCCCTCTCGCAAACCCTTTCCCATAACAAGGGGGTTCAGCTTCCTCAACGCTGGAAAAGGGCGGAGCCCCTCCTCATCAGTACAGGAACGTATTGTTACCACTGGAACGAATGCAATGCGGAAAAACATAGCCCACCAACGAATATTGAGCTAGAAGTATGATGAATGGCGATCATGTGACCAGACCAGGAGGCGCCTCATCATCTTTAGTCATCCACCTCCCTCCCCCCCGCCCAATCCGCGCTGTGCGTGAGAGGCCGTGCAGGCCAGCCCCTCCCCTAACCGTAAGTGGCAGCACAATTACGTCACGCGTTGTCGGGTGTACTAGAAGCACGGGGAGGGTGAAAAATAAGGCCCCTTCCCTAACCACAGCCATCATGACGAACCCAGTGGTGAAGCCCCCTCATACAGCTATCGTCACCATCGACTGCCATATACTAGGTGCCCTTACATTTGCTTTACACCAAACCACGATTTCCTGCAAGAGCCCGTGTCGTTGCTGTACAATACAGCTGAACAATACACCATAACTTGCCTAACAAAAGGATAACGGGCCAAGGGCCCCTCCTCATCAGTACAGGAAAGTATTGTTACCACTGGAATGAATGCAATGCGGACAAGGGGGTTTCAGCTTCCTCAAAGCTGGAAAAGGGCGGAGCCCCTCCTCTTTAGTACAGGAACGTATTATTACCACTGGAATGATTGCGATTATTACAGGGGAGTGGAACGACTCAAGTGCGACGCACAACCCTATGGGCCTTATAGACCTGGAATGCGCTCCTGTGACTCCACGGCACCAGTTGACCTAACACACCTCGTTATACGGACGCTGAACCCCCTTGTTTACTGTAGTTTTAGTGCTCGTTGCATGGCTAGACGGGCTCAGAGCCCCTTGTCCAGCCGAGGCCGGCCGCCTTGTTCACCCATGGCGTACATAGTGTCCTCACTCATTGCACACATTGTTAGGTTACGCCTGTTCAATCGAGTACTTAGTAACGTCTTATCATGCTTGATAACACCCACGCCTTAGGCTACAGAACCCAAATCGACGGCGTAACTGCCACATGGAAGTGCTTTCAGGGTCCCGCAGAGTTTCACCTACATTACTAACATGATGAGGAGGTCAGGCTCCTCAATCTCGGCATCGTGCTCAGAAGGACTTCAGCCATTGCGCCGTCACATGACATGTTAGCTTATAAGCGAGGTATCCCGTACCCGTTTGCGTTACAGTTCATACGCATAACCCATAGCAAAGGCTTGCAACATCGTCCCAAAGGATTGTGTGGGCTCTGAGTAGCACAGTAGATGCGAGCATGCTCCCGCCGACTTTCACAGGTAGCCCTTTGGCGACACGCCGCTGTTACCAATTCACTAAATACTGTTTACGGTACCAGGACAAACCATAGAGGAGCGCTAATCGCTGTTGCCGAGGTGGTCCTTGTTCAACGGCTGGTCAATAAATCGTTTGTTCCGAAATTAAGTTTGTTTGGCTTCCAGTTATTTTTACTGAATACAGATAACAAATATCTATTAGGTGCAATAAATAGTGTTGTCTAGATTGTATGTTTTGCCGTTACGGACACACGGACACACGGACAGGGGCAATCTGCTGGGCGATGAAGAATGTCCGTGTGGCCGTGTGCGGTTGGGGGCGGCTGTACTTGGTGGTTGGTGGGGTGTGTCCGGCTGTCCGTCTGTCCGCCTGTTTTCGGAGCCGGGTCGGGGGTTCGTAAGGTGCCATGGCGCGGCGTTGTGTTGTTGCGAAGCCCCCCCGAAGCCGCTTCGCGGCGGGGGCTCCGCCCAAAAAACATAGCTCACCAACGAATATTGAGCTAGAAGTATGATGAATGGCGCCAGTTGTCATGTGACCAGACCAGGAGGCGCCTCATCATCTTTAGTCATCCACCTCCCTCCCCCCAGCCCAATCCGCGCTGTGCGTGAGAGGCCGTGCAGGCCAGCCCCTCCCCTAACCGTAAGTGGCAGCACAATTACGTGGCGCGTTGTCGGGTGTACTAGAAGCACGGGGAGGGTGAAAAAAAGGCCCCTTCCCTAACCACAGCCATCATGACGAACCCAATGGTGAAGCCCCCTCATACAGCTATCGTCACCATCGACTGCCATATACTAGGTGCCCTTACATTTGCTTTACACCAAACCACGATTTGCTGCAAGAGCCCGTGTCGTTGCTGTACAATACAGCTGAACAATACACCATAACTTGCCTAACAAAAGGATAACGGGCCAAGGGCTAAGTTTCGGCATTTTGGCAAGCCAGCTCCGGGTTGCAATATCTAGTTTAAACAGTTTCGCGGAGTTTATGTTTCGCGGAGTTTCGGTTACCGCTCGAACCCTGAACGTTGCTGTTCGGAAAGGGGCTGTCGTACACGTGCTTTCTTACAGTTGCTGTTTGGCATCCCTTGTTGATCACGGATAGTCGTTGTAGTTATACACAAGGAAGCCTTCACAGTACCGTTAGAATACTTATGTTGTTAATGTGTTGCTATGAAGCAGCATGGGCAAACGCCGCTGGACTGATGACCAACTGCTTGCGTTGCAACAAGCTGCAGAACGTATAGCTGTAGACAATGGAAGACTTACTGTCAAGCACTTATCAGAAAGCTTGAGGAACGACTCGCGATTTGCCAATGTTACCAAGACACAACTACAGGGCTTTATTTACATGAGCAATATTGGTAAAGAATTAAGGCATGGTAGCGGCACCAATGATGCACCTGTTAACGAAGAAGAGAAGTCTGGTCCGACACCACCCAAAAAACGCTGTCGGTGGAGTACTGAAGATGAGCAGGCTTTTAATAAAGCATTACGAACTATCGTGGCTACTGTGAAGGAAGCTTCGCCACAGACAATGTTGCAGGAAATGGGGCGGCCCAGTATTACAGCACGCATGGTGCGGAATCGACTGCGGAAGGAACAAAGTCAAAAAGGTACGGTCGCTCATAGTGAAGCGTTTGAAGGTAACCACTGTTTCGCTGACGACATTGCTCCATCGCACAAACGAAGGTGACATTGTTCCAAGCAGTGCTCAAAAGGAGAGCGGTATAGGTACGTTGTTTGTTATGAGTGCATTTCAGAAAAAGGTTGCTGGAAGAATGCTGCACTGAAGAGAGCGTACCACTGAATACTAGCTGCTGCGACCAACATGCTCTGAATGCCACCCACAAACCCCTGCCCACGTAGAAGAAGACAAGAAGGCGACGAGGCCGCTGGCCACGAGGATGAGGGAACAGGCTCCGATGGGGAGGATGAGGGAGACAATGGCACGGATAGCCCCAGCCATGACTCGGATGAGGTAGGGTGACAGCGAGGGCAACTGAGACCTAGGACCGCGCGTCAGGTACTGTGCACGCCTCTGATACCCTCGGGTTGCCAACGCAATTGCGACCCTCCTTATTAGCAAGACGACTTGCCCCTGAGGGCCGCAGACGCCCGGCTTGCCTGTGCAATGAGCCAATTAGCACTGTACAGGCCTGAGGCTCGACGCTGTAAACGCCACCCTCATGTGCCCCTACGCTGCCAACTGACCCTCCCAAACGGGACACCCATGCGCCACTCTCCTAAGAAGCCTCGTCAGCCCCCCTCGTCAGCCACCCTCGTAAACAGCCGCGAAACCTCACCCAACCACCCCGCCGCACCGTCAGCCCTCCATGCCGCACACCCGTTTGGGCAGGCCATGAGATCGCTTCGGTCTGGTGTACCTTAGCCTTCATCCATCAGTAGGGGGCTTCGGGCTTCTCCCGCTTACGGAGCACATCAGAGGACGCCATGCAGCTACCGCAGTACGAGGCATCATGGGGGCATGCGGAGGACTCCGGACAACCCCAGCATGGCCTAAGGTACTGCTTGCCTTAATGAGGAAGATCCATGAAGCAGCACATCCACTGTGCCTACTACCAATCCCGGGAGACAACCGATTGCTAGGTGATAGGATGATCCTGGGAAGGAAAATTAAGATTAGGTGCCCCGCCATGGAACGGCTAGTGTCGGCCCTAAGCCACCTTCCACCCATTGAAATAGTGGACGTAACTCTTTTGTCTCCAGGTGATTGGTGCTATAATATTCCCCTATGGGGGAATCCGATAATCGTAGCAAATGGAGGGCAATGCTTAGACACGATGTTCGCTGAATTGAGGGAATTGCGTGGTTTTAACACGGTAGGAGTGGCAGCAGTTAAATGTGTTAATTCAGCTCAGTTCGGTTAAGGATAGCGGGACAAGCTATTTTTACTCCGAGTATGTACCAGGAGTGTGAGCAAATTTACGCAACTAGGATTTTAAGAGGAGTGTTGGGTTTGCCTGATGGGTATATACCCCCAGAATCGCTGAGATCATGGGTGACAGCGCTAAAGTGGATGAACACAATTCTGCTTTACATACCCATGGGGTGGGTACTAGCAGCCAGAAGTGTGATTGAACGACGGGTGGACGGGATTATCCCCCCGGAAAAGGAGACGTGGAGTCGGATAGCCCGTAGTGTTGGTTGGAGAATCGGGCGGACAGTGGTAAAGCTACCTGACTTGACCGTTAGGATTGCGACACACTTGCAAATGAGCGCAGGTTATGATGCACTGGAAATGAAACATATAGCTTTCATCAAGGAAGCGAGGGGTGTTGCGGAGATTCCTATGACGGCGTTAACAGAGTTTAGAGACACTTTGAAAAGGCTATGGTATTTACGGTGGGATAATGAACACAAGGAAGCTTTATGGAGGTTAGCAGTGAATGGTTTTCCGGCAGCACGACTAAGAGGGAATGTGACAAGATGCCCTTGTTCGGCTGCTATGATCAGGGGAGACAGGATTCATCTGTTTTGGGAATGTACGGTGGCAAGAGCGTTATGTGACATGCTTAGGTTTGAAGTTGGTGAAAACGTTGAACTGACCAAGGTGAATTTATGGTTAGGTATACCGCCATTAGGTATTCATACCCTAGTGTGGGATATAGTATGCCTTGCAGCTCTGAGTGCTCTTGAGCGAGGTGGGGAGAAAGTTGATGTACAGAAAAGGACTGGAGGAAGGAAGAGGAGGAACGGTTACAAGACAAGAGATTAACGCGATCGGTGTTGAGGTGATGGCTGATTTTTGGGCACGGATTCGTTCCTTGCCACGTTGAATATTCCCCCGAGAGGTTGGGGGAGAATACCTAGACAACACCCTTTCCTAGCAACTGATAACAATGGTTCAGTGGTGTATAAACCACCACCAGGTGAATAAAATGTTATCCCTTACTTGAAGAGGGACAATTGATCCCAACTTAGCCCTTGGCCCGTTATTCTTTTCTTAGGCAAGTTGAGGTGTATTGTTCAGCTTTATTGTACAGCAACGACACCTTCTCTTGCAGCAAATCATGGTTTGGTGTAAAGCAAACGTAAATGCACATAGTACGTAGTCAATGGTGACGATAGGAAAAGAAGAGCGCTTGCGCATGACTTGCCAGCTATGCTAGGATTGCTAGCACACGGCATGGGGAGCAAGTAAAGGCTAGCTGGGGAATATGCACTCCTAAGAAGGGTACCGATTTGGGGTAAGGGGGCCCTTGTGGCTTGCACGGGCTCGAGCACAGCGGTGGGGGGTGGTAAATCGAGGAATCTCACGAGCTGTATGAGGGGGCTTTACCATTGGGTTCCTCATGATGGCTGTGGTTAGGGAAGGGCCCTCATTTTTACCCTCCCCGTGCTTCTAGTACACCCGACAACGCGTCACGTAATTGTGCTGCCACTTACGGTTAGGGGAGGGGCTGGCCTGCACGGCCTCTCACGCACAGCGCGCATTGGGCGGGGGGGAGGGAGGTGGATGACTAAAGATGATAAGGCGCCTCCTGGTCTGGTCACATGAACGCCATTCATCATACTTCTAGCTCAATATTCGTTGGTGGGCTATGTTTTTCCGCATTGCATTCATTCCAGTGGTAATAATACGTTCCTGTACTGATGAGGAGGGGTTCCGCCCTTTCCAGCGTTGAGGAAGCTGAACCCCCTTGTTATGGGAAAGGGTTTGCGAGAGGGCAGGCGGGTAGCGGATGGGGAATAAACAACATACCAACCCATAGGAAATTTCAGTAAGGGCAAAGCAAAGGGGACGGGAGGCGGTAGAGTGTCACAAACACAATACGTAAAAAAAGACAGCCGCAGCAGGCTACAGTTCATCGACCGTTACTATGTGCCGCACACCTAGCACTGCCTTCTCTTGCTTTAGCCCAGTATGGATTGCTAAGAAATGAACAGGTACCGTTTAGGGATCTGGGTAGCGGATGTTGGGAAAGAGGTCAGGGGCCTGAGGCTACAGTTGGTTGTATAACTGCTTTGCACTTGTCGCATCACCTCTTTTCCTACGCACAATTAGATTATGTTCTTCACCGCCGTTTTCTTCATGTGTTTTTTGTCGCTGCGGCCCGTTCACAACACAGCGGCGTCTCACACAATTGCGGTCCCTCCGTATTCCTCCGTCCAATCTGCAGTTAGTACGGTCTCTCCGTCTTCCTGCATCCTTCCGCGCTGTGGTTTCGCCCTGAACATCGATGATCAGCTTCCGTGCCTATTGCACCCGCACATTCCATGCCAGGTGCCTTGGCCGTGTTAAAAGTTTACGAGCTCTGACGTACACTAACGCGAGCTAGTGTGGTCCCTCTGTCTTCCAGCGTCCTTCGGCGCAGCGATTTTGTGCTTACTACAGGTGATCACGTTCAGTACCTAATGCACCCGCATTTTCATTGCCAGGCGCTCGGGCCGTGTCAAACGTTTATGAGCTCTGCCGTACAATGACGCTCTTCCTACTAACGGGCTTCCTCGCTTCCTAATGACTTAAGTTTGTGGCATGGTCTATAAGGCCCAAAGGGTTGTGCGTCGCACTTGAGTCGTTCGGATACCCCTGTAAAAATCGCATACTGAAGAGTCTAAAAATGTTAGGGACGGATTTAACTGCCTTGGGGGATGAGTTGGACTTGGATGCGCGTGTGGAACGTATTGCTGGCACGGAGTTAAACGTGTCTGCGCTCACTAAACTTTTGCTGACAGAATGGATGCGGACTGGGAGGATAGGAGTTTGGAAGTTGACCCGCGGCTTTTCGACCCAGTAGTTCCAGTACCAGGGGTTGGAGTTAAGATGTGTCGGTATAAAAATTGGATGGGTGTCCCGGTTGACAGGGGGTACATTTCTCAGCGGCAACATGTCAACCTGATGCGTTTTCGGCTGTGTGTGTGGGGCATTAAAGCTAATCGCCCAAGGGGTAGGCAACGAGTAGCGCGTGTTTGTCCTATGTGTGCATTGCAGGGGTCGCCTGGGAGAGTGGAGGACGAGAAACACATCCTCATTGAATGTCCCGCTTACGATGATTTGCGTGAAAAGATATGGGAAAGTGGTGTCTCACGAGATGCTGATATGATGTCTATCATGGGCATGGAGGACCAGGCATGGCTTGCTAGCGTGATCACTAGCATGCGAAGTCGTAGGATTGCGCAGACAGGGTACATCATCTGAGCTGCGTACTACGTTTCGTGTCATAAGTTTTCTTTTCTTCTTTTGTTTGTTTGCGTGTTTTGTGCTCGCGATCCATGAGCCTTCTGGCTCGGACGGATCTTACGAGCTCGGTACGAAGCTCTACCTTCAGTCTTGATGCATTTCCCATATGCCTGTACAAGAAGACCGGCTTCACCCCCATGGTTTCTGGCTATGCTAATGCAGAGGTAGCTTAGCTACCTGTAAGTGACATAGTCGAGAAGATGCTTGGCAGATCGGCATAATGTACTCAAGTTGTTACAAAGAATACATTAGATCATTCCGTAATCCTAGGAAAGATGAAATAGGCAGGCGACCTTGCTCCAGGAGGGGGCCCCGTCTCATTATCCGTTCCATCGGCCTAGGGATTAAGCTGTTTTTTTCTGTTGTTGTATCCGACCAAGACAGTAAGCGAGAATGGCTGCCATTATGCTCGCATCAAAGCAGGGCGCCTTATTGCGCACACGTTTTGGCCCAACGCAGCAGCATGGCGTCGCCCGTCGCGGGTCGCTGCAGGTGACATTCAATGGCACGATATAAGGCTCCTTGAAACTTGAGGCAATATATGCGCACTGACGCCACAAGTTATGCGCTTCCTCTTTTAGGTGACCGCTGGCCTAAAGGAGGTCCGCGATCGCATTGCCTCAGTGAGGAACACCAACAAGATCACGGATGCTATGAAATTGGTCGCTGCCGCTAAGGTTCGCCGTGCTCAGGAGGCTGTGGTAAACGGTCGCCCCTTTTCTGAAAACCTGGTGAAGGTACGCGCTTCAGTCGGTCCTAACTTCTAAGCGGGTCGCCGCTGCCAAATCGCATAGTCATGCTCTCCTTAAAGCGTCTAGCGAGATGGGTAGAAAGGTGCGAGTTTGCTTTTGCAGGTTCTGTACGGTGTAAACCAGCGGATCCGCCAGGAGGATGTGGACTCCCCGCTGTGTGCGGTCCGCCCCGTAAAGACTGTGTTGCTAGTTGTCCTTACCGGCGACCGCGGTTTATGCGGCGGGTACAACAATTTTGTCATCAAGAAGGTAATGTCGCGCGGGTACCCCTCAAGTCCAGGGGGATGCAACAGATAGCCAGTATACAACGACCTATAAAAGTTGCACTCGGCGTAGGGTACCCGCCAGCCAAGATTGCCTTGTGACCCTGCGCCGTTGGCTTGTGCGGGGCCGGCGGGGAGTTGCGTGCCGTTCTCATCCTTAATGAACACTGGCGTATGTGCCGTGCCGCTACACAGACCGAGCAGCGAATCCGGGAGCTGACTTCGATGGGCGTGAAGGTCAACTTGGTGTGTGTGGGCCGCAAAGGCTCGCAGTACTTCGGCAGGCGGAAGCAGTACAACCTCGTCAGTAAGTTGGGGGCGGGTTTGGATTCGGACACGGCAATGGGCATTGGCTTCCTACTCTCCTACCCTTCAACTCTCGACCCCAACCCTAAAAGGTTCACACACAAACTCCGGCCAGTTCTCTTGGCACACATCACAGTCGAGAGATCGTTCCTGCTCGCGACCAGCTTTCCTGAATGCACACACCCGACAACCCCAGCACTTTCTCAGTCGCGGGCTTTCTCCTGAACATCCCACCCACTTACACTTGTTCGTTTCCTTCTTTACCCTCTTACACCCCGAACTGAACCGTCTTCCCGCCCTCCCGCAGAGTCCTTCTCCCTGGGCGCGGCTCCCTCCACCAAGGACGCGCAGGGCATCGCCGACGAGATCTTTGCCTCCTTTATTGCGCAGGAGTCTGACAAGGTGGAGCTGGTGTTTACTAAGTTTGTGTCGCTCATCACCTCCAACCCCACCATCCAGACGCTCCTGCCCATGACTCCCATGGGGGAGCTCTGCGACGTAGATGGCAAGTGTGTGGACGCGGCTGACGATGAGATATTCAAGCTCACCACGAAGGGCGGCGGCTTTGCTGTGGAGCGTGAGAAGGCCACGATTTCCACCGAGACCCTGGACCCCTCACTCATTTTTGAGCAGGAGCCCGCGCAGATCCTGGACGCGCTGCTGCCGCTGTACATGAACAGCTGCCTGCTGAGGTCGCTGCAGGAGGCGCTGGCTTCGGAGCTGGCGGCGCGCATGAATGCCATGAACAACGCATCAGACAACGCCAAGGAGCTGCGCCGCGTGTTGACGATTCAGTACAACAAGCAGCGCCAGGCGAAGATCACGCAGGAGCTGTCGGAGATTGTGGGCGGCGCGGCAGCGACGTCAGGCTAAGCGGGCGTGGGGTCTGAGAATGGTGGGTTGAGGCCCACAGTATCCTACCAACTAGGTGGTGGTGGGATACTGCGGGGTTAAGGAGATGTTTCCTGTCGGTAGGTAGGCCGGTGATTCGAGCTGTAGAGGAGAAAGGTTGCTTCTGTCATTTGGCTTCCACATGATGGACATGCGCACGTGAAGGGGAACTGCTTTGTGTGGAGCTGCTGTTCGTTGGCGCTGTTACGGTTGCTGAAGCTGCCACATGAGCAATTCGCATGCAGGAAAAGTGTTGAGAGAAGATTATTTTGTGAGCAGAGTGCAGGTATGGGACAGGCTCGTTCCAGTCCTTCAGCATTTGTACAACCTATTCGGATAGCGTGTCAAGTGGAGAGACGGCCTACGCTTGCTTAGGTGGATGATCGTTGCCAGGAGCCGTTCTAGGTTACAAACAATAGCAGTCACACAGGAAGGGGCAGCACTCTCATGTTAAATTACATGACCAGTGTGCAATGTTTGCTGCGCTTTTATGGCCTGCCCTTGATTCCAGGCGCTCGGCTAGGCCACGGCTTAAAAGGGAACAGCCATTAATGATACCCCGGTTCCCGGGGGGAGGGGGAGGGGTAAAAAAACTTTGCCAAACCCCATGCTAAAAACATAAGGAAGGAGTGCCGGACCCACCCACCCACCATGCATTGCTGTAAGTGCACAGTTGCGTCAATAAGTGTGATACAGCCCACCTCGAAACCACCAATATGTAGCCCAGTAAGCAGCATATGCAATATGGTTATTTGTAATGTATTCTACGGCATTGAAAACAACCAGAAGGGAGAATGTCTATTTTGAAGTGGACTGGATGAAACCTGTCAGCTTCGCAGACACCTAGGCTCGCCCCCTATAAAAACAAAGTCGCAGACAGTGCAGGCCGAGTATGTGGCGGTGCAGGCTGCTTGGAGGGGAGTGAGGTCGTACGTTTGGGATGCGTATTACATGTCGATGATGTGAGAAGATGCGTCAGTGTGGTCCGTGGGCGTGTCTGTGTGGCCCTGCTTCCCCGAACAAGGGTCGTGTGGATTGTCGGTTTCGAACTGCGCTCTAACACCATGCCGAAGATCCTCATCCGGTGTGACTGGGTCCAACATGCGCGCTCGTGCGCAGGCTTCCACCAAAACGCCATAACACAGGTAGGCGAAATTCGCAATTCCCAGCTTGATGCACTGCTGATACAACCACATCAACTCAAGCGTTGCTGGAATAATAGGCAATGAAAGGCATCAAAGAAACAATTGCCTGTGCGGTAGCCCACAGGTTTGCGACGATGGCCATGTCGGGCGAGGGACGCATGGAATCCGTGAAACGAGCACGTCGTGCGATCCACTTTTCAGACGTGGTCGTTGAACGAAAGAAACGATTGAACGGACGTAAACGTGAACGTAGCGGGACCATGCCAACTTTGTAGCGGCAGCGGCAGCCTTTGCTAATAACCCCCTGGTGGCTGTTTGTATTCATCTACAACTAAGCTTTCTATTGAAATATCCACTTTATCGGTTTAGTGTATTGCAAGAGGAAAGATAGCTTTGAGGGATGCACAACAATAGGCAACTTAACCTTGGCTTTTAGTACGCAAGGCCCCTTATCACCGGCATTCATCCTACGACCAACCCCACTTACAAGATAGCTCGCTCAAGTCTCAATCGCTGATACGTCTGCGCATCTCAAGGCAATAATAAGCATCCATGCTATTTGCAGTTCCCTCCGGTGTCTCATGCCATATTCACTACATCATGTCTCATGTCCTCGCTGCCAGGAAGTTGCCAACTCTAGTTGGGGGGGATAACACCCGGAGATCCCTCTTGCCTTGTGAGCCCAGGAATCCCCAGCGGTGGCCTGCAATCCGGCTAGCGCTGCCGTATGCAGAGACAACCCCCCCACCTAGTCGTACCACGTACTCACATCCTGTTCACTATTTGCATGCGCACCGTGGGTGCCGGCTGCACTTATACGTTCACCGCCTCGGACTTTCATCTTCCGTGGGCCTTGATGGCCTCATGTGACGCGCCTCCGTTTGACGCTGCCGTTGCTCCCCCGCGGCGGAGGCTGTGGGCAGAGAAGCGAGTCACGTCTAGCTTGAGTTGCGGGTACGCTCGCTGCACCTCTACGAGCAGCATCCGCAGCCGCTGGGTGAAGTCGCCCTTCCTACATCCCATGGGTCGCAGGCCCCATTTCGCGCCTCTCGTGAAGAGGGGGTGTTCCGGGGCTGCTCCGTCCGCTCGCGCCCGGGCCAGGTGGCGTGAAACCACCCCTTCCACCGGCACTCCGCTGCCCGACGTTGCCGCCAATGGTACGGTTGCACCGGTCCCCTGCTGTGACGTTGTATAGTGACGACGTGGCGTGATGCGGCTCCTGCCCGTATGCTGTACGACCATGCGCCCGCCGTGACGTTGTATAGTGACGGCGTGGCGTGATGCAACTCCTGCCCGTACGCTGTACAACCGTGCACCCGCCGTGATGTTGTACAGTGACGAAGTGGCGTGATGCGGCTCCTGCCCGTACGCTGTACAACCGTGCACCCGCCGTGACGTAGTATAGCGACGGCGTGGCGCACATCCTGTGCCATGGATCCCGCTACGCCTCCCTGTCGGCCAGCTACCTGCACTCGCTCGGGGGCACTGAGGGATCGGCGGCAGGCGTCAACTCGAACCTCGTCGGCTCCAAACCGCTTTGCAACGTTGTCGACATGCGTGCCCTGACTGGCATAACCCAGGGACACCTCCAGTTATGTCTGAGATGGCCCCCCTACAGAGTTGGTGTCCCTGATTGGCATGTCAGCAATGCTATGGCCGGGCCTGTCAGCAAAGCAATAGCAGGGCGGACACGAGCCGAAGACACGAAGGAACAGTGTCACGGGCACTGTAAGGCAGTAAGAGTCCACAAGGCAAACACTCCTAAGTCCCCCGGTCTAGTGCGCGTGCCAGCCCCCCATCCCAAACAGCATGCCAGGACAAGTAACGAAGTAACGAAGTAACGTAGTTGGGCATGCATAGCACTGCATTCAACCCTTGCACATACTAAAGCCACCTGATGAGACCTCTGGCCAGGTCGAAACGCGTCGTGGCGGCCTTGTTCATGTTTCACCGGGTGTCTTGGTGTTGCACTGCATGCTTGCATTGCCCACACATCTTCTTCTAGTCACTTTCAAGCTAGGTGCAGTTACTTTGTTTACTTAGGACTGCAGTTTGTACCTATACCTGTTTTGATACTTGTTACCCATAACTTAATCACGTAAGTACTTAAGTGACTCACACCCCAGTGGCCCAAAACTGAATCACCAACACCTAACAGCAGCCGCAGATGCAGCCGCAGATGCCGCAGCCGCAGCAGCAGCACCCTCCTGAGGAGGCCCCCCAGCCGCAGGCGGGGCTGCCTCGCCAGGAGCCTCCCCTGGTGCAGGACCCCTCCCCGGAGCAGGGACTTTGGAATTTCTTTTTTCCCCGGAGCAGCAGCCCTCTGCGGCTCAGCACCCGCCGGGACCTCCGGGCGAGGGCCTTCCCGCTGCCCCGCCGGCTCCCCAGTCCTCCCCACTGCTCGCCCCGCCTGTGGTGGATGGTGCTCGCTCCACCCTTCCTCCTGTGAGCGCCAGCGGTGTCTCCGCGGGCTTGCCCGCGCTTGTTGTTCCCCGGTCGCCCTGGGCTCGGCGGCTGGTTCTGGGGTGCCCCTCCTGAGTCCGCCCGCTGGTGCCGGGCCTGACTCCGCTGATGGCTTCCGCCCCGCTGGCCGTCCGCGCCGCAACAAGGCCGCCCGTACCGATGGTGGGGCTCTGGCTACTTCCAGCCTCCCAGACGCGACGGACGGTGACCCGATGGTGTTGTCTCAGGGCAGCAGCCTCTCCAGCAGCCGCGCTGGCAGCCCGTCCCCGGGCCGCCGCCGCCTTCCCAGCAATCCCTTTCTGGCGCTCGCCGAGCCGTCGCCCTTGGACGACGGCGAGGTGGAGCTGCAGCTCTAATGCCCCGCCGGGCTGCTGGGCGCCCAGCCCGCACCCCGCAGTTGTGTGTTGGCTCCCACAACGTGCGGGGCTTGCTGGGGTCCTTGGACCACGGTGTCAGCGCGCGGCTGCCGGCTTTAATGCGGTGCTGGGACCGCGAGCGCCTCGACGTGGTGTGCCTGCAGGAGACCCACGTTCGGGAGGATCAGATCTCGACTGCCAAACTGCTCCTCCACACTGTGGCGCGTCAGCAGCACGTTCCCGAGTGGGCCTCCTGGTGGTGCCCCGCGGTGCAGACAGCTGCTGGTCGCCCCAGTGGTGGGGTGGCTATCCTTATTCGGTGTAGCCTCCTCTCCACCGGTGCCTTGGTCGGTCCGCCGGATGCTGCGCCAGTGTCCAGCCCTGACGGCCGCCTTCTCCATTTCCCGGTGGCCTGGGGAGGCCACAACTTTACCCTCCTCTCGGCCTATCTCCCGTCAGCCGACAGCACAGGGCAGCAGGCCTTCCTCCGGCAGCACTTGCAGCCGCTGGCGCAGCTGGGTGGCATGCATGTCTGGGCTGCGGACTTCAACTTTGTGCTAGACCCCGACCTGGACTGTGCCCGGGGAGCTGGCCGCACCAGGGATGTGGCCACTGCCCGGTGCTATGCCGAGGCCTGCCCTGGTTTTTGGCCTGCCCTTGATGCTAGGCGCTCCGATAGGCCGCGCCGTGGAAGCAAGGGAAAAGCCTTAGGGAACACCCCAGACTTAAGGTCCACGCAAAATTTCCTATCTAGGTAACATCGCGCACGAAGCCATATCATTGTAACTGTTTGCAGACTATTGCTAAATGTAAGCCACGGTACCATGAAGAACAGTTGTTTGCACGCACAGACAACTTTGTTATGGGGCATGGGCATAAAGTTGGTGTTATGTGTTGCTACTGTAAATGTTCGGAATAACGACCGAATGTGTTTTCCTGTTGTCTGTTGTTAAGGGGCCATTCACATTGAGGCTGAAATAGGTGAGGCTGTAACCGAAAGTGAATACAATATTCAATTCCGCCTCATTCACATTGAGGCCAATATACTGGCGGCAATGTAGGGGCTATTCACATAAGGATTTTGAGTATTATATTCAGTGAAGCCGCATGAGGCGCAAACCCGTTTCGGCCTCAGATTTCGTTCACATTGGGAACTTTGCAAAGAAAGAGAGGCTTTTACCGACTAGCCATAAAGTTGACGGGTTGCGAGCGCAACCCTAAGTATAAGAAAGTAGGATTGTAACTGGTGTTGCTTGAGCAGCTGCGGAAGCAAACTTAGTTCGCTCAGCAGGGTCCGTCACCAACGGCAAAATGCCTAGCTCCTCACTGTCATGGTCCCCATCTTCGCTAGGCTGGTAGCTTTCATTACTGTCAACCGCATACCTAAGCTGGGGCTCAGGTTGCCTTAGTTTAGGTCATCGTCATAGTCAAAAAGGCTGCTCATGAGGGCGCCGCGAACCGCGAAAAGCTTGTAGGATTGTCAAATAAATAGGTGTATGCGGTAGCGTATTTATCGGGGATCTATAGCGTTGCGAACTGGTTTGGGTCTGTGAACTACTTTGCGAGCCGTCTGGGTGAATATTTTACTCTATTGCAAGTATTTCAGTTTCAGCTTCGATTCTCTACTTCTGAAAGTAGAGGTAGTGAGGCGAATACTAAATTGCCGCCAGTATATTGGCCTCAATGTGAATGAGGCGGAATTGAATATTGTATTCACTTTCGGTTACAGCCTCACCTATTTCAGCCTCAATGTGAATACCGCCGTTTACATATGCGCGAAACTAAAATCAAAAAGGCAGAAACCAACTTTCTGTCGCATAGAACTCCCAATTTTCGTTTCGCTTTCGCCCCGATCTTTCAAGAATTGGGAGCGTGATCGAAATCCTACACGTAGCTGAAATTGCGGAGTCTGGAGGTGCTCGGGTGAATTTCTGCACGCGGGATTTTAATTACGGTCACGCATATGTAAACGGCCCCTAAGGTGCAACGTTGCTATTCGGAAAGGACGCCAGTTTGGAGTCCTCAGACATTTTATCGGGGTCCCTGGAGTCTTCGGACAACCCTCCTAAAATCATCAGTTATCGCTATTGCAAATACACCACGGAATATGTTATAACGATATATCATATTATCCATTGTTCTCTGCCTGCAAATAGGTGTGGTCGACATACTTACCGCATGCACAATGTGCTTAAGCAAACCTAAACGTCGTGTCTTTGTTACGCGCTAGCTGTTGTGGAATAAGGAGCTAGGCATATGAGACTTGTTGCTTTAGTATGTTGGCAAGTCACTGCTGAGCCAGTCATTACTGGTTGCGATGGTTAGTTGTAGGTGGCCGCGGAAGCACCTTCCGGCGCTCACAAGGCATCTATTAGGAAGTTATTATCAATAATTATTGTTCTGTAGTTTGCCTGGCTGGTGGCTGTGTCGTGCGGCGAAGTTGTGAGTTGACTCCAGGGACCCTGACAAAATGTCTGAGGAGTCCCGTACGGAGGGGCTGTCGTACACGTGCTTTCTTACAGTGGCTGTTTGGCATCCCTTGTTGATCACGAATAGTTCTTGTAGTTCTATACACAGTTAAGCGTTTCACAGTTTCGTTAGAATACTTAATGTTAATGTGTAGCTATGAAGCAGGGGGACCGATCCGGACAGCCTCGGGTATACCCCCCCGACCAAAACGCAAAATTCCGGCTAATTTCCTTCACAGTTGACTATAGTTATATAGTATATATCGAAACCGCCGATAAGGAGACTACAGTAAGCGCGTAACTTATTGCGCTCTACGGCCCAGGCCACCACGGCACACGCCAATGCTATTAGTTATACCTGAACACTACTATTATATACCTTCATGCTAGTAAGAAACAACATTCATATACCTTGTTTCTCTCTTAGGATGATGCTCTCGCTCTGCCGGCATGGCCTCCCGTTGCTCACGCCCTCAATCTGATACCTGCTACCTCACAGATCGACCACTCCGGCAAGAATCGTTCTACACAAAGCGGCGCGCGTCGCCAACGCGGGAGCTCTCAAACTCAATTACCACCTCCGCGCGCTCGCAGCCCTCTTTGGTAAGCTGCAGCAGCGTGGTGTACAAGCCGTCACTATCAATCTTCTCACCGAAGTTCTCTGGCGGTGACCGGCTCTTGCTCCAGTAGTCTCGCCACAGCCGCCCAGCCACACCCCCCTGAGCTCCTCCCTCTGACACCCCCCCTCCAGCAGGCGTCAGCCCATCTCCAAGGGCTGCCTCGATCCAGGCGTCATCGTACGGGACTACGCGCACGTTCGTCTTCTGCACCGTGTACTCCAGGTACAGGCAAGTCTTGGCCTGGGCTGCCAGCATAGACAGCTGGACTTGTGCGTAGTGGCCTGGCGGCATAAGCTTTGGGAAGCGCTTGTGGGGTGCCCATACGTACGTGTCCCCGCCGTTCTCCTGTTCCGACACCTTGGTGAAGGGGAAGCGGGACTTGTACTCCAGGGCTATCCGCACAGGCTGCCCACCCTAATACCCAATACGCGACATTGCAACGTGCTAGGCCATCCAAACTATATGCTTGTTGACGGCTTGTGTTGTACGCTTCATATGCGGGCTATTGTATAAATTACAAACTTAAAGTCAACTGTGAAGGAAATTAGCCGGAATTTTGCGTTTTGGTCGGGGGGGTATACCCCCTTTTGGAGGCTGTCCGGATCGGTCCCCATGAAGCAGCATGGGCAAACGCCGCTGGACTGATGACCAACTGGTTGCGTTGCAACAAGCTGCAGAACGTATAGCTGTAGATGATGGAAAATTTACTGTCAAGCGCCTAACAGAAAACTTGAGGAACGACTCTCGATTTGCCAATGTTACAAAGACGCAACTAAGTACCTTCATTTACAACACTAATCGTGGTAAAGAATTAAGGCATGGTAGCGGCACCAATGAAGCAGCTGTTAACGAAGTGGAGAAGTCTGGTCCGCCACCACCCCAAAAACGCTGTCGGTGGTGTACTGAAGATGAGCAGGCCTTTTAACAAGCATTACAAACGATCGTGGCTACTGGGAAGGAAGCTTCGGCACGGGCATTGCTGCTTGAAATGGGGCGGCCCAGTGTTACAGCACGCATGGTGCGGAATCGACTGCGGAAGGAACAAATTCAAAAAGGTATGGTTGCTCATAGTGAAGCCTATAAAGGTAACCACTGTTTCGCTGACGACAATGCATCATTGCATAGACGAAGGTCAGAATTTTGCAAGCCGCGCTCAAGAGGAGAGCGGTATAGGTACATTGTTTGTTATGAGTGCATTTCTGAGAAGGTTGGTGGAAGAATGCTGCACTGAAGAGAGCGTACCACTGAATACTAGCTGCTGCGACCAACATGCAGTGATAACACCCACAAACCCATGCCCACGTAGAAGAAGACGAGTTTGGTGACGAGGCACTGCCAGCATTCGACGAAAACAGTGATGTGTGGAGGTGCACCTATACTTCAGTTGAAGCAGCAGAGGAAGCCTGCAGTTCTGCCTTTGCAGAGTCCTGCTCATATGCCTGCTGCTGCTGCGAACACAAGCTCTTCAGGCAATCAGTTATGGAGGTCACGGAAAACATGTATGACACACTCAACGAGGAGTGGGCTACCAATCTAGCGGGCTGGGTAACACGTGGTGTGGGCTATATATGCCACACTTGCAGCATTCGTAGGGACCGGTGCCCAAGGTTTTCATTGGCCAACGGGCTAGAACTTCCAGAGGTTCCACCTGAGCTGCAAGGCATTCCCGAGCTTTCAGAACGGTTGATTGCTATACGCATGCCATTCCTGCAGTTACGGAGACTTCCAACTGGAAACCAGCATGGACTGAAAGGTATGGATGGTATAGCCTCTCCAGTTCAATTCCCTTTTCTGCGCAAGCTTTCCCACCGCCCTGCCCTCCCCACCCCTTGCTTCCTCTTGCCTTACCTCCCCTCGCTTTCCTTTCACCACCGTCCCTGTTCTTGCTTTCCTATCCCTTCCCCTGCCCACTCCCTCCCCCAGCTTCCATGCTTTTATCGTTCTCTCCCCGTGACACCCCTTGCCAATCCATCCCGTCCCCATCCCTGTGCTTCCATCCCTTTGCCCCTTCTGCCCTAACGACTCTTCCCTTTCATCCCGTTGCCTTCACTTCCATCCGGAGGCACTTCGCATTTGTCTATCCTAGGGACTCCGCAAGGAGGACCGAACGATTAGGGTTGCGCATCGCATTGTCGCGTGTGGCGTGGTGGCGCACGGAGCATAGCACATCCGTATGCACCAACGGATTCGCATATCGGGAAACGGTTCCTTAACCTTTCTTTATTCGCTTTGTCCCATCGTTTGCCTCATCCCTTCGCCACCACCCTTACAACTTAATTACATATATCTTTTACGTAGACCCACATTGGCGGACCTACCCCTTCCGACCATGCCGCGGCCATCACGGCCGCCGAGGCCACCCAGACCGCCGCGTCCGCAGCTTTCAATGCTTCCGACCAGCCCTGTACCATCGTTACCCTATAGTTTCGTACACACCCCCAACGCTTTATCCACCTATCCACTACACCTGGCGCATACACCTCCGTCACCACCCACTCTCTCCCCCTAGGTCAGCCCACATCCACCATCTTTCATGTCATGTCGTCCCCACCATCGCCTCCCCGCACCCATACGTCCCCGTAGTTTATGCTCATGACTCCATGCACCATGCCCAACGGTGTGACACTGCGGTCACCCGTTTGGTGTTGGCCTGCTGTGGGGATCCTTTGCCGGACAGCACAGGCCGCACTCCTCCTCCTCCTCCCTTGTGCCTTTCCCTTTGTTCATGGCCATGCCCAGTTGACACATCCATGCTCTTTGTCTTGCTTTGTCTTGCCTGGTCCCTGCTGCCCCGTGCCGTGCTACCCCTGCCGTACATCCACCTGCCCCATGTCGTACCCATTGTTTGTCATCGCCCATTCTATATTCGTCCCTTTTGTTTTGTTTCCTTTAACTGCATTATTTAGTGTACACCCCTCTTTGCATACTATCCTACCCTACCCTTAGTCACCAAGGCCCCTTCGCATACTTCACAAATTCATTTCGCATTTCTTGCTTTCCTCACAACTCTCAGTTTTTCTATACACCCATCCTAACCATTCGTGTTGCCTGTCCCTATCCCCTCCCGTGGCCCTTCCGTCGCGACCTTGCTGGCGGCTTCTGTGGCGCTCGCTTCCGTATATAGGTAAATCCGCCTCGTGATCCGTTTGTTGTTGTTGTTGTTGTTGTTTGCTTACCACGTCACACACGTTTCACCCTACTTGTTTTGCCATGTCCGAGCGACATCCCCTGGGGCCTTGGTGACGACGCTCAACACTCAGCGACGAATAGACTACTCCATTTTTGGCTATTTACAGCACACCGGATGCAGCAAAATCGCTTCCTCTGGAGCATCGGTATCGGTAAGGACTGCTAACCCTCCCATGTTTTGTGGCTCCCTGCCAACAATACCCATTGTTTTGCCCTAACTTTGTGGTTTGGTTTATTCTACCCCCCCCACCCCAATACTGGGAAGCGCTCTTCTCGAACGCAACCCTCCTCCGTGGTACCAGGGAAGGGCGCGGAGGCACTTCGCATTTGTCTATCCTAGGGACTCCGCAAGGAGGACCGAACGATTAGGGTTGCGCATCGCATTGTCGCGTGTGGCGTGGTGGCGCACGGAGCATAGCACATCCGTATGCACCAACGGATTCGCATATCGGGAAACGGTTCCTTAACCTTTCTTTATTCGCTTTGTCCCATCGTTTGCCTCATCCCTTCGCCACCACCCTTACAACTTAATTACATATATCTTTTACGTAGACCCACATTGGCGGACCTACCCCTTCCGACCATGCCGCGGCCATCACGGCCGCCGAGGCCACCCAGACCGCCGCGTCCGCAGCTTTCAATGCTTCCGACCAGCCCTGTACCATCGTTACCCTATAGTTTCGTACACACCCCCAACGCTTTATCCACCTATCCACTACACCTAGCGCATACACCTCCGTCACCACCCACTCTCTCCCCCTAGGTCAGCCCACATCCACCATCTTTCATGTCATGTCGTCCCCACCATCGCCTCCCCGCACCCATACGTCCCCGTAGTTTATGCTCAATGTGTATGGCCTGTTTCAGGCACGCTGGGAGCGTTTGTAGGAGCTCATTCGGTATCCCGTCTGGTCCCGGTGCTTTATTTCGCGCAAGTGAGTTCAGGCATTCCTGGAAGGTAACGTGATCTGCCATGCCTGGTAGAAGGGAGTGCGCTGTGGGGTCCGCACCTTGCAAGATCCCCTCACCCATGCGGTCGTCAGCTTTGGTGCTTAGCCAGGGGTAGTCGCGTTTTGCCTCCTCTGGTCTGTACTTGCCTGTCTTGGGACCGGACATTGGTTTGGCGAGGTTGCTGAAGTATACATGCAGTGCGTCGAGTATTCCCTCTGGGTTGGTTCTTACCTGGCCGTCTGACGGGTGTCGTACGGCGGGGATGCCCTTCGGCTGGTCCTCCGTACTAAACACCCATCGGTGCGCCTGTCTCGCACGCTTTGCTAGGACTGCTCGGAACCTTTTCGCGGCCATCTGGGCTCCCTTTTTCCGTACCTCTCCAATTGCCTTTCTTATTTCTTCTCCAATTTGCTGCACTCGTCGGCGCAGTTCTGACATGTCCTTGTCATCAGACGGTTGGGTTTTGCCAGCTTCGTATCCCTCCCGTTCCTGCCCGATGTCATCCGCAGGTGGTTGCACCGCGTCTGGCTCCATGGGGGGCTGGGCGCGCGGTTCAGTTGTTGGCTCCTGCACCCCTTTCATGGCTTCAGGTAGGCCAGTCTCTAGTGGCCGGTTGATTTCACCCTGCTTAGATGTTGTCGGGGAGTCCGTGTGCGCTTTTTGGGCCCTTAGGTTCAGTTCAATCTTGGTCTCCTTGTTTAAACGGTGCAGTTGGTTAAGCTTCTTTGCTCTGCTTCGGGAAGGGTGTAGCACGCCCGTCCTTGGGGGCTTTTTGTCTGCATGCTCTAGGAGGATATCGAGACATTGATTAATTACGGTTTGCAGTTTGTCTGCTTCCTGGTTTATATCAATTCTTTGGATTTCCGGCCTCCAGCGCAGGTTGCACATAACGTCATCTGCTTTCTGTCGAGTTTCACTGGGGCTTTCAAGCTCTTTTGTGGTGGCTCTTATCAGTCTCATGGCTTCCTCCATGGGTGCCTGCAATCCTTCTATGGCAGTGGTAAGCTTGGCCTCCATGTCTGCCCGTGCTCTCTCTTTGGTTTCCCTATTAATCGGGAGCTTTACCGTGGTCCATAACCTGTCCTCGTGTTGGGGCCTGTTGGGGCGGGGTGCTGGTGCAGCAGGGTACAGCTGAACCGCTGTCAGGGGAATCCATGTGCATAGGGGCCTGTGGTCGAAGTTGCCTCCGCATTCGCATACCCGCTCCCATGCTCCTCCTGTATGTGTAGCCGCTATGTGAGTCTGGTGGCTTAGCAGAGTGTCGTCGATCCGGCTTCTGTGTGTTTCACTGCCGTACTGAACTTGGATGTAGGTCGGTTCCCGTGTGTCCTGTGGTGCCAGAGGCGTTGGCGCCAGTACTGTGTGCAGGTGTGCTTGGGCCACAAAGCGCTGGTGGGCTAGGTCCGCCGAATCCTGGTGCCGTGTCGACCGGTCTGTATTATTCAAGGTCGCGTTCCAGTCTCCGGACACCACCGCATGGTGGCCGTCTCGCCTCGTCTTATCAAGCACGGTACGGCAGTAGGAGTAGATGCGTTTCCGTGTCTCCGTATCTTCGGGGCAGTACACCCCTAGTAGGACGAGCGGGGTGCTTAGCGGGGGGGCAATTGCAATGTGGCAAACATAACCCGCAAGCTCGTTCGGCACGGGGATGCTGTCTGCACTGTGACACCTGCTGAACCTCTCTGCGACAGCCACCATGACCCCGGCCTGCCGTTGTTCCTTGTCTGGGTGATGCGGCCTATTGCTCATGAACGTTTTGTACCCTTCCAGCTGCTTTTTTACCCCTTGGACTCCCCGTCTGTGCCTGCCGCTGATTTTGGTTTCGGTTAGGACCAGGATGTCCGGTTTAAGTTCATCAATGCTTTGCCGAACTGATTCGATATGTCCCTGCAGGCCCCTCACATTGTGGTTCACAATTTTCAGATAGCCCGTCGGTGGTGGTGGCGCTGTTGTATCTTCAGTGCGGGCTTGAGCAGGTGGGTTCGCATTCTGGGCGTTGTTGGTTTGCTCCCCCGCTGTCGGTTGGGTTGTTGTCACCGGTGCTTCATCTGTGTTTTCAGCACCCTCTTGTGGGGGCGGGTTGGTAGTCTCCCGTTGCCTTTTCATGGCCGCCCTCATCCTGGCTTGTAGTGCTGCTATCTCTGCCTGCCTGGCCAGCGCTTTTTCGTGCTTTCGGGTTCTTTCCTTGTTGCTCTTTCGGTTCTGTTTTTCAATACTTTCTTGCAGAAGGCCCTGTTTCTTTGGTGTCAGGTTGTCCACGGGAGGTATCAGGTCATTTGTGTCGGTGGCAGTCGTGTTGGGTGCGGTTCGCATGCTATGTCCATCTACGCCCGCATTGGGAGCTTGCGGCAGGGGTGCGTTGTGTCTCTCTGCCTCCGAGTGTCCGTGTGCCCCTTGGATGCGCCTCATCCTGAACTCGGATAGTTGGAATAAGGTAACTTGTCGGGCCCCTGCACGTTGCCTCTTCTTGCTGATTGATCCAGTTTGTTCATTGTTACCCTCAGCTGTTGTGCGTGTTTGTTTGCGGGCAGGAGGCCCTGTTGCTCTCTCGGGGGTGTTGTGTCCACACGGTCTCTCTTCCCCGACTTCAAGCGGCCGGGTTTCTTCTTCAATTTGCAGTAATTCATGCTCGTTGTCCTGCCGTTCCCTTCCCTCCTGCACCATGCAGGCAGAAGCCGGACTGGTGTTCAAGGTTTCGGCTTCTTCAATACGCTGCACATCCTCTGGCGTGTCCTGTACAAGGTCAATTACGCTGCTGTTCTCACGGTAGGGTCCTCGAGGTGTTACATTGTGGACACTATCTTCTAGGAGTGCGCGGAGGCTATTGTGTGCACCCCCGACTATGAGTACGTCAGCATTAGTTAGGCAGTAGATGGTTCCACTCAGGTCTTGCCACCTGTGATGCGTTGCTTTGTTAAGCCCTGCCTGGTCTGTAAGTATCTTGGGAGCAGCTGCAAGCGAGTCCAGCAGTAGCCATCTGTCCTCATGTTTCTTAACTGCTACGGCATGTGCGCGCTGGTCTTCTTGGAGGATGAATCCTACATCACGAGCATGTCTTGGTAACCTGCTTATAGTTTGGTTGCCCGTAAGATTTTTGATGTGGCTGTCTGTGTCAGGTTGCTTAAGGACGATGTATGGGCAGGGTTGCGGTTGCTGCTGGGTATGGCTGATCCGGACGTGCTTTCTCAGATAATGGTTCACGAGGATGACAGACATCCCTACTCTTTCGTCGAACAGGGAGCACCAAAGTCTTAGGACCCCTGGGTCTCCGTTTTGCAAGTCTTGTTTCATTGTTTTCCAGTACTGTACGACATGTGCTGGGTCTACATATCGGTTTCCTAACAGGTTGTTAAGCGAATGGATTTGGCAGTAGGAGCATTCCTGCCTTTCAAAATATGTGCGGTTGCTTTGAGGTACTGGCCATTGGACAGGAGCAGGAGGCTGTAGGGCTGTGGTAGGGCAGTTCACCCGGGCAGGCCCTTGTCCGTCTGGCATCGTGTCACCTCCTCTCAACCGTGTAAGATCATAAGCTATTTTGTCAGAAGGGTACACTTCAGGCCAACGTACTGTTACGCCTATTCCTGCTGTACACTTGCGGTAGTTGTCCTTCGGCAATACCGGTACTTGGCCACGCAGCATTCTAATGCCTAGTCCCTCGTCGGCTTCAACACAGCTGCTTACAACAGCATCGCTGTGGCTCGCCCCTGGCTGAGGACGTCGCGCCCACACCATTCCTATTGGCATGTGGCATTCGCCGAAGCTAGTCAGGCCTTGTCTTTGATTAACTGCCATTGCCGCTAATGTACTGTCGAATACATATTGAGCTGAAAAAGCTGCCATAACGCCATAGCTCAGACTTGCTGCGGGGTTCATGGCGTCAATGTTAATCGCTGAGCTGGTGCTCTCTGTGTCTTCCTTGCTGCCGTCTATTTTGCCATGGGGCTGGAGGTTGTCATCCTGCCTGGCATTGCCTGAGGAGTAATATTGAGAAGCGTAACAGCCCTGAGTCGGCACCTCCGAACAAAACGTAGCGCATTGCTGTTCCCGAGTATCATGTTTAATGCAAAAGTAAGCTTCTTTCCATGTGAGCGTGTTGTTGGCACACAGCGGTTCCTCATGGAAATGCTTGGCATTGAACTTCTGCCTCTGCTGCACACAGTCAGCTAAGGTCGCCTGTTCTTGAAAACCAAAATGCTGTTGTCCAGAGAAGCACCTGCGACTTCGAGTGTCTGTCTTCTCGAGGGGGTCAATCAGGGAGTGGTCAAAATGACCACTGTCTGGAATGCTCGCGTCTATTGCCCTTAGAACCGTTTGTTCCCCACAACAGCTAGCCCTCGGTATAGCAGTTCCATGGACCGGCGAGGCCTGCGTATCCTCGCCGTTAAGTCCACCCGCCACCTTGGCATCGCTGGGGGGACGGCCGTTGGCTTGCGCCGCGCACGCAGAATGCCATTTTTGTGCATATGCTTCGTTTGACATGCACTCCTGGCTTACCGTGTGCTCCAGCCGCGACTTTTCGGTCGCGCTCCCTGACATGGTGCAGCCTAGCTCACTACCAATGCTGCGTAGAGCTGCTAAATATTATATGTTATAGCTTACATTTCTCTATGCATTGCAGCGGTCTGCATTGTTGTGGAAGCGAATGCCCAAGGTCTTCGCCGACGCGACCACCCGCGGGATCAGGGCAGCGGGACCAGGGGGCCCAGGGGACGGGCCGGCGGGGGCGAGGAGGGGAGGCGGGGGAGGGCGCAAGAGTGCGGCAGCCACCGAGGCGGCAGTAGGGAGGGCGCCGAGGAGGAGGGAAGCAGCCAAGGATGGGAGGGAGGCGCGGACAAGCCGCGGCGAGCAGGGCGAGGGCGAGGGAGGGGTGGAGGGGAGGAGGAGGCGCTGCAACCGCTGCAGTGTCGGTATGGAGGCGCTGCACCCACTGGAGGAAGCCCGGCCCGACGCCGAGGGCCTCGAGGTAGGCGAAGAGGAAGTCCCTGTCAACTGTGTCATAGGCCTTGTAGAAGTCCAGGAAGACAGCAACACCAGGGCGGCGCTCCGTGCGGAGGAGCTCGGGCAGGAGTTGAAGCAGAAGGATATTGTCTGCAATGCGTTGGGATTGGAGAGAAGACGCGGGCCAGGAGGGGCGCAAAGGTGCTGGAGAACTCCTTGTACAGCTCCACAGGCAGGCCATCGGCTCCCGGGGCACGGCCGGAGGGGGAGGAGGAGAAAGCCGTCAGAACTTCGGCGGTGCTGACCTCAGCCGTGCCGAGGGCAGCCACCGTCCCCTCAGGACAGCGACGACTGTGCGAGCGAAGGGCCGCCAGGATACGCTCGCGGGCGGCCAGAGTGGAGGGGGAGGGGGCGGCGGGCGTGCAGATGTCCCGCCAGAAGGCAGCCATGACGCGGGGCATCTCCAGGGGGTCCGCTGTGGCAGCCCCGGTAGGGCCTTGCAGGGCGGGAATTGGCCGGCAGGCAGTGGGAGGGCGGAGGAGGGCGGTGAGGGTGGGGCAGGGACGTTCTCCAGTGCGCAGCCAAGCGTGCCGGGACTGCCGGGCACCAGGGCCAGCCGCCTGGAGGGCAGCAGCCGCAGCAGCGGACCTGGCAGTGACGACCAAGGCTGCTGCCAAGGGAACACCCGCTGCTAGCTCAGCAAGAGCAGCATCCTCAGCGACCTGCGCGAGCGCCTCCGCACGATGGAGGGAAAGACGGTGAAGGCGGGCCACCATGCAGCCAGGCTAGTAGCCCGTTTCGGGGCAGGCCACCAGGCCAGGAGCTGGGCCGGGTCGTCAGGGGCTGAAGCAGCAGCTTCCTGGACCGCAGGTCTGGGAAATCCAGGAATTGGAGCCGCGTCCGGGGCAGGCCAGGGCCAGGGGGTTGGGCGGAGGGGGACGCAGTGAGGTGGAGGACCACGAGGCGGTGATCGGAAGGGGCGCCACAGTGGATCTCACAGGCCCGGGCATGGAGAGCCAGGCAAGGGGAGAGGAGAAAGCGGTCCAACCGGGAAGCACCCACAGGGTGGGTGTAGGTAAAGGTGCGGCGGGCCGGGTGGAGACGGCGGAAGGCGTCAACGAAGCCAGGGCAGGCTGCACCCAAAGCAGCAGCAGAGGCCCGATCTTGGCGACGGCCATCCACACCCGCCGTACTACCGTAGCTGTGTCTGATCATCGCGCACCAAGAAATTTAGGGATTATTTTTATTTAACGCGCAGCCGTGTAAGGAATTATTATTTTTAACGCGCAGGGGTCTGAGCAATTATTTTTCACAACGCGCAGCCTTGAGGCCAGTATGTAAGCAGCCTGTACTTTAAGTTATAAAGATCGGAAAGCAGAGCGGCACCCGCGTGTCTTCTTGTCACCTTCTCGCGAAAGCTCAGTAAGCTGCTAGCAAGGAGGCGTAGGTATGGATGGGGTCGGGGAAACTGTGAAACCCTACTTTGGGGGCGGCACAGCGACGGGGTGGGCAATTTATTTTTAACGCGCAGCCCTTTGGGGAAATATTTATTTTTAACGCGCAGGCCCCGGAGCAATTATTTTATTTTGCGCGTTAATGCACATTTTGCCAAATAATTATTTATTTTTGCGCGATGATCACTGGGAAGGACGGTATCCAGAACGGAGTCGGGAACTACTACCCCTACTACTACTACCCCTACGGGGGTAGGGGCGCTGTACACTGCCGTCGCGAACACTGCTGTACACCTCTCAAATCAAACTAGCTAACGGCAGCCAACGGACAGGCGCACAGCAAAGGCAAAGAACACTGTAACTAACAGCAACAAATGCACCGTTGCTAACCAAAGCAACTGCACTGGAAACTGCAACCACCGACCCACCGACCTGGCACCGTACCTGCCGGCCGCTGGCACGAACCCACGCATGCACACGACACTCCATGATTGTGGTTGGTCCACTTCTGGCCAAGGGGCCTAGTGTGGCCTTTGCTCGGCCTGCGGCCATGGGTGTTTGGTGTTGGTGACTCATGGTCTGTCACTTAGTTTTCGGCTCCCTCCTCTGTGCGGGATATCCCACTTTGGACATGTTTCCTTCAGTTCATTCATGGGCCCTGTGGCTCTCGGCTGTCCGGTGGTGGTTTGCGGCCTTCCTGTCGGGCCTGGTGTGCCCCCTGGGGTAGGGCGGTCAACACTCTGTTGGAATGAATGTCTAACGATTGGCCAGTACGGACTCCTTACTGGTTGGTCCTCCAGTGTAATCCAAAGTTCCTACTTGGCGCTCTGTTCTGTTCTGTGCGTGTCCCGTGAAGGCGGACGTGAGGGAGTCCGTGGCCCTACCACACCTTACTTATTGTTATACACAATCACGTATCGCTGCATGCTGGGCCAATAGGGAGGCATCCTTTGACGAGTTGCGCAGGGATACCCGCGCTGCTAAACTACCGGCGCTCACACGTCCTGCCCAAAGCCCAGTGCGCCCATGCAGTCCCCGCACTGGCCAACAACAAGCATGCATGCGAGCAGCATGTTTTCAGGATCTACAGCGGGTGCCCAAGGCCCCATTCGCCCGCCGCTAGCACTGGACAGTGCTATTGCCACCGCTGCTGCACAGGCCAACACCCGGTCCTTAAAGCCCGGATGTGCAAAGCCTAATGACACAGCAGGCCAGAAAAGCTCGGGAGAGATCCCCTTACCAGTCCATGTCCTCCACTGCAGCTTCCAGGGCCTGCTTCTACCTTCTGTGCTTCCAGCCCCATCTGACAAGCCACCTATCCATGATGTCAACGCTCCTCATCAGGTAGCTCGCCTCCCGGCTTCCCAGTTGTCTTCCTTGCATGACACGCTCATGCGGTGAGGCACGTAACATCGCAATACCAAAGTAAATAAGTAATGCGTGCAACCATCGCCTTGTTCAACAAATGCCGCCCATGCATGCAGGCATCCCTGCCTACTAGTTACTGGCGCCCACATGTACATGTATCCCCGCCTCTCCCGGCTAAGGACCGCTAAGCCCAGGGAGCCCAGGGGTATGAAGTCGTGCCGCTATGCCCATTGGATAGGACTAGCGAATGAAGGGGGTGAACCCGTGGCCTTGCTAGCCCACGCCGCGCCAGTGCGCTCATCCCCCGCGGCAAGCATCAAATTCTCATGCACTTTAGGATGGGGTGTTGGGATATTAAGGTGAACTCACACGGGAACCGCCCCAGGTCTGAGCGGGTTTGCAGATGATGCAATGAGAATAACGCCATTAGGATGAGAATACCCGAAGAACGTCGCGAGTATGAGGTTTCCCTGAACTTAAGCAGTAGGTCCACAAGGGAGATCATCTCTGCCCCTCCCGATCCCCTGGCTAGATATCTGAGCCGTGTGCGGGAGAAACGCATGTCTGTCAGGAATCAACTGCGCAGAGCCCCTAAACTGCGGCTGTAGGGGACCCTGACTTGGACTAGCTTTGTCTCTTAGTGTCCTTGGCACCTTGCTAGTACGGACACACTGTACACGTGCACAGACTGTGCTAGGGAATTCACTAGTCAGTACACATCCTTGCAAGCAGCATCCAACCAAACTATCCACACCATAACCTACTACCGGCCCAGCGCCTTAAGACTTAAGCTCTGAGGCCGCATCCGCCCACCCGGCGCCTCACTCTTCCCATTCCCACGCACAAATGTCAGTGAATCCAGAAACCCCCCGCTGCCGCCCAACCCGCCCACACTTCCTCGTCGCCGCTCCTCCTCCTCCTCCAGAGCTGCCGTGTAACGGTCCGCATCAGCCGCCAGCACCCGCGCCCGCTCAGCCGCCCGTCGAGCCAGCATCGACGCAACCGGTGGTCGCAACGTCGACCCCTCGCCAGCCTCAGACCCGGTAGAAGCCATGCCATTACCCGCACTGCCATATTCGGAAGAGGTGGAGCGGCGGCCGCCACCACCACCTCCAGCAGCGGCCGCCGCCGGAGGAGCAAGCCCGGGCGAGACCACTCCTCCGCTGCCGCTGCGACCGCCTCTGCCTCCGCTGCTTGTACCTTCAAAGAGATCCGCCAGCGCCCCATAGTTGATTTTGTTAGAAAGCTTCTTGGCCTCAAGCAGATTGCGAGTGGCGCCCGCGGCGTCCTCAGCGGCGGGCAGCGCCGCCTTGGACTGCGAGGGAGCGCGTCAAGGACTTGGGAAGGCGGTTAGGGAAACCTGCTGACGCAGAAGCAAGTGTAAACGGCCAGAAACGTTCTTGCAAGAACCACGTGTGTCCGTGTGCATCCTCCAGCTTTCTTTGCAACCTCGACTTCCACTCTTCGTCCTGCCCTCTCGTCCATATTGCAACCCAAGTGGTGTAGTCCTGTCACACGGTCAGTTCCGTACTTCCTTCCTCTTTTCTCTGTCCTTCTTACCTTGCGGACGTACTTCCGCTTGCCTCGCTCCGAGCCCGACTTGCCAGGGACCTCCGCCGCCGCCTCTGCTGCGCGCTTGGCCTCCTGCTTCTCAATCCACTCGCGGTTCAGCTCCACCCATAGCTGCTCCCGCACACTGGCCTCCTCACGAGTGGCCAGGTAAGCGGATATCTCGTCATCCTCCACGTCAGACAGGTGGTCGCTGTCGGCGTCGGCACCAGCCTCAGCGGTGGCGGGGGTGATGGCGCCGCCTGGAGCAGAAGCCGCAATCGGACCCGCGGAGCCGGTAACCATCACTGCACCGGTGGCACCGTGCGTGGCAGCAGCGACGCTCGCTGCGCCGTTCGTGGCGGCAGCTGCATACTCCTCAAATCCCTCCAGTCTTGGCCTCTTGGCCAGACCCACGGGCCTATCCGCATCCTCACCTGCTGCAGCAGCGGCAGCAGGAGTGGCAGGCGCGACTCCCGGCCGCTGAGACGCCGGTCCTGGCACCGCAATACCCGCCTCCCTCTCACCGGCGGTGCCCGAAGAGGGGCCTGCCGCGGCGCGAGCACGGATTTGCAGTGGCGCTGATGCCACTGCCGCCGCCTCGCCGCCCAACGCCTGCGCCAAGGACTGAAGCTCCGAGCTGTGAAGCGCCGCATCAAAGTCCTCCTCTTCCTGCTCATCAACGTTATTGTCCCCATCGCCGCTGCCGCGTGCGCCGCTGCCCTCAGCGGAAGCTGCCACCTCGCCCGCCTTGCCCCATGCGGAGGTGTCTGGTGCCTCCGCGCCCGCCGCCTCCTCGTCCTCGTCATCTTCCCGCTCGTCCCCCTGGTCGTCCTGCTCCTCCTCTGCGGCCCCGAAGTCCTCCCGCAGGGCTTCCTCGTTCTCCAAGTGGCGACCTGCTCAGGGGGGAGGGAAGAGCCGGGGGGGGAGGGGGAGAGAAGACGTAAGGCACACGGAGATTGCCGCTGGAGAGGTTATAGGATGAGTGCCTGGGTAGGATAAGGCGCTCGAGCGACTTCAAGGTATATATGCAGCCATACGGCACGAACAAGGGGGCAACCTACACGTGCGGCTCAACTACTGCTGCTACCTGCTACATCCTCCATCCCTCCCCTCCCACATACGCCTGTCTTGCCCCTCATGCACCGCTGGTCCACTACCCACGTTGGTGCACGTCCATCTCCTCATCCTCGCCGCCCGCCGGGCCCTCCAGCGCCAACACCTCCCCCGAGCCCTGGAGGGGAGTCCCCACGGGAGACGGCATGGGGAGGGGAGGGGAGGGAGAAGAAAGAGAGCCCGTTACGCTGCGCTCAATGGCACATTTCCAAATCTAGAGGACATATCCTCACCCATCCAAACCCTTTCACCCTAGCCTTTCCTCTACAACAGCATCTTCTGCGTCCGCATTGAATTGTGCATCTCAACCCAAGTGCCTGCCCCTTCTTCTCACTCCCTTTCCAAGCACCAACCTGCCCCGCTACCTGCGCCCGTGCCCCCTCCTGTAAAACCCTGAAACCCTAAATCCCTGAAACCCGCTTTTTGTTAGTTCACCCAGTATGGATTGCTAACAATTGGACAGGTACCGGTTAGGGAACTGGGTAGCGGATGTTGGGAGGCAGGTCAGGGGGCTGAGGCTACAGTTGGTTGTTCCACTTCCACGTTGCACTTGTCGCATCGCCTGCTTTTCCTACGCCCAATTTAAGTTTGCACTTCACTGTTTTCGTCTTGTCGTTTTTGTCGCTGCGGCCCGTTCACAACACAGCGGCGTCTCACACAATTGCGGTCCCTCCGTATTCCTCCGTCCAATCTGCAGTTAGTACGGTCTCTCCGTCTTCCTGCATCCTTCCGCGCTGTGGTTTTGCACTTTCTACAGATGAACAGGTTCCGTTCCCATCGCACCCGCATTTTATGTGTCAGGCGCCTTGGCGTCGCCAAACGTGTATGCGCTCTGCCGTACAATCGCGCTATTCCCACTAATGTCTTCGTCTTCCGGTCCCCCTTGTAAGTTGTAACCTTCGCATTCTGACGATGGTTTCTGCTACTGTCCCCCGGTGTAACATCCGCATCCTCACCTTCGCATCCTAACGTTCGACGCTCTGTTGGAGTGTACGTCTACCGAGTGGCCAGTACTGACTCCTTACTGGTTGGTCCTCCAGTGTAATCCTCGCACCCTAACAGAGGCCGCTTCATCACTTCATAACACAGCTTATCGCCACGCCCACGGAACCTGGGTACTGCCATAAATACCTATTGCGTGTGACATGCCAAGAACTGTTCCTCTTTGACCCACTCATGTACCTCGTTGCACGCACCCCCGCTAGTTATATGAGCGCATCATTACATTCTTTGCTGAATTCCCACCCTGACCCGCCATGCAGTTGGTTGCGTTGTACAATCATATGGGAAGTCCGCACGCCGCCATGCTTATGTCTTACGTCCCTCCTATCTTCTGCCCCGGTGAGCCCACATGCAATGGCTCGCTTGGGTGACAGGGTTGTTTGGGGAGCCTTGCGAGGTCCAGCCCTGTCATTGTTGTCGGTTGTCGCTTCACCGCGATATCTAAAATTCCTTGTCCTTTCACTCAACCTGGCCTTGCCCATTTTTCTTCGACTTTTCAAAATCCCAAGTTCCCCCTACATGCCGAATAGTACCCGTACTGAATGGCAGACTGATTCATTGGTTCCGCATTGCCGCACTTCGCTTAAATACTAACTCTCTTCCTGGTGCTTTCTCTTTTCTCGTATGAAGCCAGCCCTCCTCAACGTCATACAGCGCAGCTAGCAGCACCCGGTACTCTGCCTACCGGTACTTTGGACAACTGATAGTACAATGCAACCCCAAATATTACCCCCTCCCGCCCACCTTCAAGGCCAGTAGCGGTCGCTCCGCCGCCAGCTTCTCACGCACGCGCTTGCGGATATCCCGCCGCAGGTTGCGCACATATGCAGGCGGGTCTTGGGCGCCCTATCGCGGGAGAAGAGCAGAGGAGTGGAAGCCGCAGACAGGGATTGGAAGCAAGGGACAGACAGCCCTGCAGGAAGAGCGTGTCACCAGCTGCAGTGGAAGAAAAAACCGCACCTCCCCTACCTTCACTACCCGCCCATCCTTTTAACCTCCCACTCCCACTCCATCCAGTTTATTTCAGCTGATGTTCCCCCTGTATCGCCTGTCCCCCTGCCAGCCCTCACCTCCTGCACCGCCAGTGTGATTCGCAGGTAGTCCTCCAGGCAGGTGCGGCACATGCCGTGCGCCAGCAGCAGGCTACCCGCCCGTACGTGCTCGCACACCCGCCCCACCGCATTGGGGTCGGCGAACACAACCGCAATGCCACCGGCAGCAGCAGCTCCCGTAGGACCACCAGCACCGCTGTGCGAGGGCCCAGCGCAAGCGGCGCCGACCTCCACTCCGACAGCAGCAACCATTCCCGGCGCCGTGGCGGCATCGTCCTCCCCCCCTTGATCTAACCTCGCTGCTGCCACTGCAGACCCCGCTGCGTTCTCGCCCCCAGCAGATGCACTCCCCACTGCCGCCGCTGTGGCCCGCTGTTCGCACTCGAGTAGCAGCTGCTCCCGCTGGGCCTCCAGCGCCTTGTCGCGCTCGCCCAGCTGGCGCAGCGTGAGGCTGGCGTCGCGCGTCTCCGCCAGCTCCAACACGCGCTTCTCAACAGTGGCCCATCCGATGTGCACGATGGAGATTACGTCCTGGATGCGCAGGGCAAGGTGGGTAGAGGGGCGCTGGGCGAGCACAGCGGCAGGTGTCAGGAGCACATCACAGTTCAACGCAGCGTATGCATATCTCGACACGCGGCCCAGAGAGTAACCCCCCTCAAACCCAGCCCTGCAAACGTACCTTCTTAGTCTTCTCCACCCCATGGATGTGCGACGCCAGGAACAGCGCCGCACCACAGATGCCGTTGGGTCGGCGGCCCGTCAGCATCCAGTCGCGCTTCATCGACTGCACCAGCCGCACCGCCGTGGTGCTCACTTTCTGAGGAAGGGGAAGCGAACAGTGGGTTCTCGGAGGGATGGTCCAACACAGTCCAAGACACAAAAGGCTCAGCGTCAGCACGGTCTGCCTGCTTAGGCAGCAACCCTAGCTTCCTCCTGAAGTCATCACCACCGGCACGCTTGCCACCACCTTCAGCTCCATCCGCGCTACCCTGCTCGCCTCCCCCCCTTTCCCTCCTGCCCCCTGACCGTCTTAAGTTCATGCGAGGGCAGCCGCAGTCGGTCCACGAAGCGGTTCATGAACAGCGAGGGATCGATGGGCTTTGTGAAGGTGGCATGCTCGTCCAGCCGCAGCAGCCGCAGCATCTGCAGAAAAACGGCGCCTGGAGGGGCACAGAGGCGGGAGATGCTGAAAGAGGCGAGGAAGGCTCCTCTACCAGGTCTGCAGGGAGGCTAGCAGAGAACAAGCTGGACCCTTGCGCACAAAGGTGGCCTGTCTGTTTACGTGATCCAGGAGGCGATCCAGCAGCGGGCCCCGACCAACCTAGAGCGTACACGTTGACTGACAGCTGGTCCGAGAAGTCGATGAGCATGTAGGGCCGGTGCTCCAGCCGGCAAAATATGTAGAGGCACACCGCCGCAACCTGGCGGGGGCATTGGATGTGTCGTTGCAGCAGGCAGGCCTAGTTCACCGGCGTTCAGACAACCCATCCCTCGCCAGTGACGTTGCCATCAGGAAGCAACCCTCGAGCCCTCTCCTCTGCCCCCCTACCTCCCTGAAGCTCCCCTCCCCGCTCCCTCACCATGTTGACCCTCCTGCCCCGCGTGAAGCCCCGCTGCAGCGCCAGGCGGTACAGCCGGTGCGCCGCCTCCGTGGCCTCCCCCGCGGGGCTGATGCGCAGCGCCTCCACCAGCGCCACGATCTCATAGCGACCGCGGCTCACAGAGGCCTCGTGGGAGTCCCCCTAGGAGGGGGGAAGGAGGGGAAAAGGGATGAGCAGGGACAAAGGAGCTGGGTCTAATCCAGCGCGCCGGAATCCGGAATCGCCCCATAGCCACACACCGACTATCCAAGAACCTTGCCCAGCCCTGGCACGTTCTGCCCACGATTCCCTACACTCCATATTCGGTCATATCGTATGTTAGCACCCGTCTGTCTCCAGCCCCTACCCCTAACTCACCCCTACCGCCCAGAGCCTGCCTCCCGAGTAGCGGCTGAGTCCGCGCACCTCCCCTCCGGCGCCCACGATCTGCCCCACCATCTCGCCCTCGCCGTCACCCCCCTTGGTGAATATGACGTCGCTGCTGAAGGCCATGTCCTCCACCACACGACCGCACTGCGTGGGGGCGAAGGATACGCGGGGATGCGAGGAAAGAGGGTGAGAGATGGGGTGCTTAAGGAAGGATAGATGGTGCAGGGAACAGCGCCGCATTAAGGTGGAATTTGCTGGGTATCGCGTGACATCAGAGCGGATGGATGGGGAACTGATGAAGCGTTGTGTCCGTGGGATACAGGTAAATGACTCGGCTGTGTGGCGGTAAGAACGTAGGAACGCGTCCCGGTTGCAGACATGAATGGCGGTACTTGAGGGCAGTTGCCGTCGGAGTGGTAAGAAAGCCCTTTCCAGCAAGCTGAGTACGACTATCTCACCTGCATGCAGCAGCTGAAGCCGTTGGCATCGTCCGCCTCCACCTCCACCTCCATCGCGCACGTCGCGCACCACATGTCTGCTTGTTTGGGCTAGAGAGGTCAAGTTGCAAGTAACAGGTGCAGGCGAAGGCCGTAGTGATTGGCGGCCCTGGCAATGGTCTAGAAATTCAGGTGCCCGAACTGATACCGTACAGGAAGTGACGAGCACCGGTCGCAGTGGTGAAGAGGAAGCCAAGATAACGATGGTAGCAGCAACCTAAGCGACATAAACCTTTATAAACCTCGGCCTAAATTGAGTAAATTGAGTATTACAATATCCCAAGCGCTTTCGGATTAGACAGCTTTTTCATGAGATACAAACCTGAATGATACGGAGGTATAGTTAAGTTGAAGGGTAGGCAGAAGAAAGGAACAGATGGTATGTTGCTTTGCGACTAAGGCCTACTTGCGGGAGACCGCTGAGACATGGAATTGGTTATGCGCAGGCGTGCAACTTAGTATGGAGGGATCTCACAGCTCAGCAGCTGGAAAACATCCGGCACCCTCATCCTAAAAAGGGCTTGACGGGGCGCGACCTGCTGGCGAGATACATGGACTTGACAGACTACCAGCGAAACCCTAAGACAGCAATCCATTTGGACTTGTACATTCACACAATACAGCTTGGGCAAGAAGTAACATCTGCTGACGATAAGCTTTCGGGGTTGTTTTCCATCGTCAAAATGGTCCACCAGCGTTCAATTCAGGAAACACTCACGATGGAGCGATCCTTTCTGCTGTTTAAAGAGCTTTTACTAGCGCACAGCGTCCAGCGTCCTCCTTACAGCATCGGGTTGTTTACCTTTCAAGAAATGCAGCGGATAATGGACTGGATGCTTGACAGCTACTACCGCCACTACAAGCTGTACCAGTACTGCTACACCAACAGGTGCTCAGGGGAAACGAGCCACTCCTGTGGAACTGACAAAATTCCACTTTCCTTATCGTTGTAGTATTTGACATAGCAGGAACCAAGACAACGCCACCTCACATTTACCCACACCGTAACCCCTCCTTCCTCCCAGCCTCCCCCTAATTTCTACGTTCGCCCCCTCCCTCCTCCTGTGCATCCTCTGTTTCGTCCTCCCTTCCTGGCCAGGGTGACCATGAGTGCCAGCTACACGCATCCCTCCGACATGGTGGAGCAGGCCGCTCCTCTGCCACCGCTGCAGCAGGCGCTCACGCAGCAGCAGCACCAGGCCATCCTCACGCAGGAGGAGCGGCGCAAGGCGCAGGTGGGGGGTGAGGGAGGGAGGAGAAGTGGGCAAGGAAGATGAGGAGTGGGAGGCGGTCGCACACGGATTGCATGGAAGTAGGGGACGCTGTAGCAGTCGGGATAATGAAGAATAAACCGAAGGCAGGCGGGGATGAGTAAGGTGGGGTTCCGGGACATGCGTCCGAAGGCCTATATGGAAATGCTAGAATAGCTGCGAAGTACCGGTTTGGAATATTTCGTGTGGGTCATCGCCCCCCAAGCCCTTAAGCTATATGCGACGTCTGCGCCTTTCCTTGACTCCATGCATCGTTCCCCGCCACCCTCCACGGTGCCTTGCAGGGGGTTGCCGCCACCGCCGTTGCCGCTGCCGCCGCGGCTGAGGAGGAGCGGCAGGCGCGTTTGCGCGAAGAATACGAGGCGGCGGTGCCGGAGGAGGTCAAGGACCGTGTGGCCGCGGCGGTGGAGCGGGAAGTGGTAGGAGCGGGGAGGGGAATTGGGGCTAGGAAAAGGGAGAAAAGAGAACCAGATCGTTCTGGTGGAAACAGTAAGTAAGTAACATCGTGTGACCAGGCTATAAATGTGTTCGGGCATGGCAGAACGGCAGGGCCAAACCGAGTGTGAGATGACAATGTGCAAACATTAATCAAGACAAAAAAAGACTGGGTGCATCGCAAGATTTACCTGTGTAGTTAAGATGGTAGCCATTGAAGCCGCTAGCAGATTGTGCGAGGGTTAGGGCAAGGAGAAAAAGTAAATGAGAAGTGAAGCAAGTTGATGGGGGTGTAGGGTGAGGGGGCATTATATAATAAATGCAAACAACTAGAGTCCCAGACCCATAACCCGACTCATGCAGTGAGTGCATTCGGAGACACTAACCTAGAAACACGCAGAAAAGCGTAACTTACCGAAGGATTGCTTACCAGAACCTTGGCGACGTGTGGGAGGAGCCGCCTTGTGTAGGGTGAGGGGGAGGGGGGTGCGGGCCTGTCCGGTACAGGAACAATGATTGCTGGTTGGCAGCGAGGCTGGTCACACGTGAGGGCGTCCTGGCACAGGCTCCGCTTTATCCTTGCCTAAGGGCTTCCCGCTCCTTCCAGTGCTGCCGCGTCACCAACCACAACGCACCCGACCCCTTCCACCCCCAGGCCCGGCTCCAACGCGCCATGGAGGAGCAGTTCGCCGCCCAGCAGGCGGAGCTGCTCGCCAAGCTGGCAGCGCTGGAGGCAAGTGGCACAGCGCCGCCGCCGCCCGCACCCAGCGCCTGGGCGGTCGCGGCGGTGAGGCCCAGCAGCGGGACTGCAAAGCCAACCCAGCCCCCACCACCTCCCTCGTGATAAGGCGGTTGGGATGGGGTATGGGTGAATCTGATTGGAGCTATAGAAAGCTGGTCCTGCACTGGAGCGTCGACTGAAGACGAGTGAATGGCGATGGGGGCATGCGGAGAAATCAAATATGTAGAGGTGGACGGCCGATAGCCGGCGATACCGAGACAAGCGGAGGTTGCCGGTTTCTGGCCTGGGATGTAAGGATCAGGTCGAAGGCCGACATGTGCGGGGCGGCTGCACCCAATACCTGTCGTACAACATGTAAAAGCCCACAGGTGGTTTGATGGGATGGACATAACGCGCTGTGATGGATGTGGACATAACGCGCTGTGATGGATGTGGTTCGCAGCCTCAGTAGCTCAAGCGAGCTGACACCTTCGCGCAGCTTCCCTTGTCGTTGAGGAGACAACTGAAAACGGTATGCAAAGTAGCACCATTGAGCACATGCAGCCGCTGGGCAGTTTGCATTGTATAAATGCAGGCAGGGCTAATGCGGATCCTGGCTAAAGTCGCAAAAAGGCTAATTGTACTGCATTGAAGCTAGCAAACAGCAGCTCCTCCCATGACAACAGGTAGCATTTGGCAAACGCTGCAACAGGAAGTTAACATGAGGCATAGCTACGGCGGCTGCGGAAGACCTAAGCTTTAGCATCGACGTCACCGACATGCGCTCAACAAGTGCAGTCTTCTTACCGACCACACAACACTGACAACATTCGGTCTACAAGTGGCTGCGAAATATATATCCAGTTGCAACAGTACATTGCATGCATAAGACCCGAGCTTGAGCCCGGACGCCTTGCCAACAAACATTTGCGACAATCCAGAGAAACAACGGCAAAACGCCATAACATGCAGACAAGGAAAGCTAAGCGTACAACATTTCCCAAGTAATTGCAACAACAAGGCACTTACAGCAAGGGGAATGGGGGAATGGTGCAATATCAGCTCGGAGGCAACGTATTTCAAGAGCAAACGTTTATCCCTTTTTGCATCGGAATGCGTTTGCAAGGTAGCACCTTGTGCGCATGCATGTAAGGCCCCTTCCCCCACCAAGATGCATAAGGTGCCAAGGGAGACAAGAGCTCCACAGACGGCTGCAACACTCCACGCTAGTTAACATTTATATGTTCCAGTCTGCTGGTGCCAAGACACACCCCGCTCTTGTAACCCCACAAGATACATGCACTCTGGAAGTAGCCCTCCATCAACCGACGGTACCAACCAGCTAGCTCCCTTCCATTTCACCAACCAGCAGCGACTTCCAGTAAGGGCGATCAGTTGGTTAGGGAAACCCATCAAGGTGTTGATGCACTCAGCTGGCACGGGCCCATGCATCGAGCATTGCAAGCCGCGGTGCGCGCGTTGCCCCTGATAGCCTCGTCCCGTTGACCTCTATTAGCACTTTCCACGCTCATAAGACCCAGGAAGCTTGCGCCAATCTGATACGTGAAATGCGCCAATCCAACACCTCACAACGTGTAAGTGCATACGGTCGAAACCCCCGTTACAATCGCAGTAACAGCGGTTTCGCTATGCAGCTGCCTACCCTCACCCGCTACAAGCCAGGATAGCGAAAGCCGACAAAATCTTCTCAAAGTCTACTTCCCCTTGCTCCCCCCACCCAAGCTGAGGCCGGCCGGCCGAGCCAGCGGCTGCGACGCGTCGTCGTTGTCCTCCTCCTCGTCCCCCAATGTGAACGGCCCCGCCTCCCGCGGCGCCTCCTGTTGCGAGTACGTCCGCGACTGCCGCCCACGATACGTCCCGCTGCTCAGCCCACAGGACGGTGTCGTAGCCTGGACGCCGCCTGACCCGCCCGCCAAGGTGCCAGCCGGCAGCCATGACAACGCCGCGCCCCCACGGCTCTCCAGACTGCCGCCTGCCGCGCCACCCAAAGAGGGATTGGACGAGGTCGGCAGCGAGGGCAGCTGCCGGTATCGATCGGCGTCCTTGCCCGCCTTCTTTGCTGCACGCTCCGAAGCCGCGGACCCGCCTTCTGCGCTGCCGGGCGCCAGCGGCCGCCCCTCGCCGCCATCACCACCCAAGTGCCGCTCCTTGCTGCCGCCTGCGCCGCCCCGGGCCCCTTCGTCCAGCTCCGCCATTGCGATGCTGGTGCTGAGCTGGTTGACGCCGCGCACCTCCGCGTCCTCCTCGCTGAACCCCACCATCAGGTAGCTGCTCTGCTCCTGCGGCCTGCGAAGGGGGCAGGAGAAGGCAATGAGAGCAACCCAAGTCCGAGCAAGAGTACATGTAAGCGACAGGAGGTCAAACCAGTAACATCACAAGGCACTGGCGCGGAAGCCAAAAAAGCATATACCTACCGCAACTCTGTCGCTCTCTCCCAGCTGATTTCCTCACCCCCCTCTCGCACCTCACCTGAACAGGACCAGCAGCGCCACCACGAAAGCCAGGTAGCAGCCGAACAGGAGCGCCTGCAGGGTGCTCTGGACGACGTGGTTGAAGAACACGGGCAGCAGCAACACGCCTGAGAGGGGGAAGGGACAACGGGGGTGGGGAGGGAAAGCGAGACAGGACATGGGGGGTGGCCAAGGAACCCCACATTGGGTATTCTTCTTTTTCCCTCCACCGCCTCCTCTCACATATATCCGCCACTAGGTACCCCGCCACGCCCAGCGAGAACCGTGACAGCAGCCGCTTCTTCGACGTGTAGGCCAGGTGGTCTGCAACCGTCTCGCCCTCGCCGCCGCCGCCCGCCTCCACGTCACCCATGGCGCTGACCGGCAACACCGGCACTCCCGCCGCCAGCTGCCCCCCGACCCCTGCTGCTGCGGGTCCGGTGCCCAGCGGCGTGTAGCCTGGGTGGCCCGCCGTTGCACCCACCGAGTGAGCCTCCGCGGCAGCTGCGGCGCGCTGCTGCTCCTGCAGCTTCACGTTGACTCGCTGCGTGATGGGGTGAGAGCAAGGGAGGCGGGCGTGGCAAGCCGTATAGAAAATAGCATTGCACGAATGGAGTGGTAGCAAGTGGTGGTATTATTTCGGGTAGCCCTAATCGTCACCACCCATAAGAGACCAGACTGTCAAGGTCCCACATCCGCTGCTTGCCACCCCACCCACCCCCTACCCGGTAGTCCTCCTCCAATGCGGCGGTCTCCTTGCCCAGCGCCTCAAAGATGTAGAGCCAGGCTAGGATGATTGCGGCGAGGTTGAGCACGGAGCACACGAACCACACGCTGGCCTCCAGCGCGTTGGTGTCGGAGAGGTCGTACGAGTCGGAGGAGCCAGACTTTGAGGAGCGGAGCGCGAAGAAGGAGTAGTCGGTGATCTGCGGGTGCAGGGGGCGAAGAAAGGAAGGAACAGAGAGGGAATCAGTGGATAGCTAGAGGGGCGTGGTGGGAGCATGGAAGGCGAGCAATGACGAAAAGCAGTGTTTTTTAGCGATAAACAATTGGTCCTAGGGCCGTGAGAAAGCGATAAGGTGTCTGTGCCTAGGGTAGCTCATCGCTCACACCACCCCGTGCCAAACCCTCTACATGCTAGGGATTTGGGTCCAGGAGGGCACTGGGACCAGTGAGAAGCGCCTCCGCATTGGGGGCTATGGGCACGTGTGACCCCAGGAGGCCGCCTTAGGAAGCGATAAGTCCCGAAACCCCTCGGCTTGGCTGGTCGGGAAAGCGATAAGCGATAGTCCAGGCCCGATTTCTATCGCTCTAGCAGCGACAAAAAATATCCCCTCAAAAACGAAAAATAATTTCGCTGACAAAAAGAAGCCGCAACAGACATCTAGGGCAGGGGAGGATTTGGAAGATTGCAGGAGGATGCAAAAACTTGGATGGGCTTATGGTCTTAGGTTTGGGCGACTCACATTACGAACAAGGGGTTTAAGTTGCTGTTGTTTGGCGATGACAGCGTCGTAACCCACCATATAACATAAACACACGTCAACAAAACTATAGGACGCAGATTACCAGGTAACTGGGATGAGCCGGAGTGTGCAGTAAGCCTCTTACCAGGCCGGTGACCACCACGGCTAGGGGCACGAACAAAGCGTGGTGTCTATGTGGTCCTAGATCACTGCGGGTAATGCAGTAGCCGCTTGCAACCACCAGCAGCACCGCCTGCGCGCGAAGCGTTGGAGTGCAGGCGCGTCTCCGGTAACGACTAGATACCGTGAACGCGTGGGTAATCATTAAACTTACCAAGAACAAGCTTCGGGAGGCATTAAAGAAGAATATATACAATAAGGACCCGAGGACATCGGTATGCCCCATTCGCTGATACCTCACGTGTCCCACATAGGCTGATGTTTCGACACCATTAAAGAATATAACAGCAAGGAGCATGGAGTAAACAAACCATGCCCTGCTGACTATTCTTTTCCGGCCAAACGCGTATGTTGATGCTGACAAGAACAGGGTCCACCACGAGCCACATTGCACTGCATAGAACACGAGAGCAAATCCAGTGTTCATGGTATCAACGGCATCATAGTCAGAGTCGTAAGAAGGCGGTGCGAAAAGTGGTGTGTCCATTCTGACAGTTAAGATCCTCTGCGATCGTAAAGGGCAGGAGGCTGCTTTAGAGGAGAAACCTATATACCACGATAGCCCTGTTTCCATGGGCGCAGTTTTGGTTTCGGACAGTTCCTACGGCATGGGAGGCAAGAGTGCTCGTACCCCCGTCGGGAGTCTGAGGTCGTACAGGGCCTCCTGGGCGCGTGCTGCGCTCGCTGTGCTCAGAAGCGTGCTATGAAACATCTTACAATTATTAATGCCATATATTTCTATCGAAGTGCAGCCCATTTGGTATTCACCTCGCAATCGACCCAGCACAAGGCTTCACATAAGCAATTCAGATGTTATGACCTGGTCAAGCAGAAGGACACGGTCTACCACCAGGCGTTGCGAGGTGAAATTCGTTCGGCCCTCAGTACTGAGCATTATGATGGCTGGGGTTCTAAGGTGTTGAAGATTCTGAAAATGTTAGGGACGGATTTGACGGCCTTGGGGGGTGAGTTGGACTTGAATGCGCGTGTGGAACGTATTGCTGGCACGGAGCTAAATGTGTCTACTCTCACTAAAAAGTTTGCTGATAGAGTGGATGCGGATTGGGAGGATAGGAGTTTGGAAGATGACCCGCGGCTTTTCAACCCAGTAGACCCCGTACCTGGGGTTGGAGTTAAGATGTGCAGGTACAAAAATTGGATGGGTGACCCGGTTGACAGGGGTTACATTACTCAGCGGCAGCATGTGAACCTGATGCGTTTTCGGCTGTGTGTGTGGGGCATTGAAGCCAATCGCCCTAGGGGTAGGCAACGAGTAGCGCGTGTCTGTCCTATGTGTGCCGTGCAGGGGTCGCCGGGGAGAGTGGAAGATGAGAAGCACATCCTCATTGAATGTCCCGCTTACGATGATTTGCGTGACAAGATATGAGAAAGTGGTGTCTCACGGGATGCTGATATGATTGCTGTCATGGGCATGGAGAATCAGGCATTGCTTGCTAGCGTAATCACTAGCATGCGAAGTCGCAGGATTGCGCAGACAGGGTGTATCATATGATTAGCGTTCTGTTTGGTGTCTCTTTTGTTTTGCTTTTTCTTCTTTTGGTTGTTTTCGCGTTTTGTGCTCGCGATCCATGAGCCTTCTGGCTCGGACGGATCTTACGAGCTCGGTACGAAGCTTGTAACACATACATACATACATAATTCAGATGTTAATGTGGGTCTCCTAGTAGCTGAACACTCCGACGATGAAGCCGATGCATTCCTTCGAGCTGCTCTCGGGTCTGATGGCAGCGGCGGTTATGATACCGGTGCTTTTCGAATATGTGCTTTACCTGAAATCGCAATTCCGGACCCCCCTCCCGCACATGCCTCTAGCCCTACCCTTGAGCCCAAGTGCATACCCGCTTTTTCCGTCGCGTGTAGCATCACAACCCGAACGAATCTGGGCATGGGAAAAAACCTTCGTCCTTGTCTTAAAGAGTACTTTCCGAATATGTGCTTACCTGAAATTGCGATTCCGGACCCCCCCTCCCGCACATAGCCCTACCCTTGAGCCCCCTCCAAGGGCCACGGCAAAACCCAGGGCATCAGGCAGCAGCCGAGCAGGACTTAGCAGCAACAGGTGCATACACTGTGCCTGCATCCGACCCAGCCCCATCCTACTCATCAGAGGCATTCATATTCAAGTCCTTCACTTCATGCGAGGACGTTTTGCCAGCAGCCATGCAGTTGGTGCCTGAAACTCAGAAACGTAAACTTAATCCGTGTCCAGTACGCGCTGTTGTCTCCGTCCGTGCCGGAGTGTTCAGCTGCACTTGCCATATGTTTGCGGCACATAACGCCTGCATGCACTCTGTTGCGGCAGACGTATACAACCAGCGGCATGGTACCTCAACCCCAGCGTCCAACAGCTTGCAAGACGAGGGTATGGAGCCAACAGAGACAGGGAACTCCCATGTCCATGCGCAGGAGCAGCAGGGACAGGGCTCTAGCCAAACAGCAGCTGAAAGCAGGCCTGTGGAGGAGGTGGTTCGAGAGGTTGCCTCTCGCCTGTCAGTTGATTCGCTGAAGGCTACCATCCGCAGATCATTCACAGCAGACCGGAGGCCACCCACGGAATGTATGTCAGCCACGCTTGCTGCTGGACGGAGGGAGGCTGAAGCCTTGCGGTCTCTTGTCGAGTCCAAAGACCGCTACAGAGGGCCGGCGGCTTTGCGTATGCCAGCTGCGTCTCCTGCTGCACCACCGCCGATGCCTCCCCATAGCAGTGAGGTGCTGGCTTTAGCTGGTATCGTTTCGACACCGCTCATGACCATCCACGCAGCACTATCAGGGGCTAGCAACCTATCAGCTGACGATGTAAAGGCAGTTGCTGATGCTATGTCTGCGTGGGCAGCTTGGGTTACCCTGCGCAGCGCTGCTGCTGCAGCAGGTGAAGCCCGCTCTGATGCAGCAGCTGCGGGGCCAAGTGGTCAGGGAGCAGGCGCAGCAGCGGCTAATGTGGCGCACAGCACAGCACAGCAGCAGGGTCCGGCCGCTGTGCAAGGTCGTCAGACTCAGGAGGTGGACCAAGCCAGGGCAGCAGCTGCGGGGCCAAGTGGTCAGGGAGCGGGCGCAGCAGGGGCTAATGCGGCGCACGGCACAGCGAAGCAGCAGGGTCCGGCCGCTGTGCACGGTCGTCAGACTCAGGAGGTGGATGACTTAGCCTGATGCCTTTACATCTTTTTGTGGGTGGCGAACTACCGATAGCCAGGGCTCAAGAGCCGTAGCGAGTGATTAACAACGCATCCACTGCTGCCATCGCCCTTCGTTAGGAAGCGAGGATTACACTGGAGGACCAACCAGTAAGGAGTCCGTACTGGCCAAACGTTAGACGTACATTCCAACAGAGCGTTGACCGCCCTACCCCAGGGGGCACACCAGGCCCGACAGGAAGGCCGCAAATCACCTGCACCAAGCACGGACAGCCGAAATACCAAGTACAGTAGGAAGCGGAAGTTACACTGGAGGACAGTAGCTGAGACCATTGTCAGACGTACATTCTAACAGGGCGTCGACCGCCCTACCCCAGGGGGCACGCCGTGCACAAGGCAGGGAACCGTGCCCAACAGATACAGGGACAGGCAACTAGGTCCCAGAGAAACAACACAAAGAGGCTGCCAAACCAGCTCCCTAAAATCCGACATGCAGGCACTGCCGACCCAGCACCTGGAAAAGGGGCCGGCAACCAGGGTCCCAGAGAAATGCGACACACAGATGCTGCCAAATCAGCACCAGAAAGATCGCGGCCCGCGACCACAGAAGCCGAAATGAAACTGTCACGGAGAAGACTGCACCAAGCCACCAAGGCATACCAAGCGACACCTGCGCATCAGGCCGCCCAGACAGCGGCACGCCGACAGCCACCCAGCAACGCCAGACCCTAAGCCTGCTGACTTAGCACAAAGGCTAAAGCCCTCCTTAATGAACGCAAGCGCGATACCAACGGCTCCCAGTGGCACTGGGGGAAGACCTTTGCACTCAAAACGTTTCCTGACGCCGCACAAGCCCAACAGCCCCATCCGTGGGGATGCGCTCCTTGTACGGCGGCGCTCCTGTTCATTTCAGCCCAGGGCAGCCTTGGATGAGGCGCGGCTAGTAATGCAAACCGCCTGCCACCCCTGAGAAACGTACTGTGATTGCCGAAAGATGAAGTCCTCCCACCGAAATGCCACAGGTGAAGTGAAGTCCGTTGGCCATGGTGTATTACAGCTATCGAGTAGTATCGGAATCATTGTAAAGCAGTAATAGCAATGTCGTAACGCGACCGGACCTAAGGACCGGAGACTGGAATGCAAGGGCGCATACGATGAAAAGTGGGACAAGGAATGATGTACGACATGCAGTACAAGCAAGGGGGATCCGGATCACAAAACCGGTACAAACAAGGGGAAGAGGAGATGATGGACTCCTCACGGAGGATTCATGCGCGCGCTTTAGCGGCCCCAGACTCCAGACGGCCGAACAGACTTGGTTACCCAGGGGTAACAAGGCTGGGTTAGGTATCTCGGTTACCGAGGTTCGTCATACCCCTGCAACCCACCTTGGGGAAACTAAACCAAAACGAGGACTTGACGAGGGGGTAACAAGGGAAGGTCGGTTACCCCTCGGTAGTGAAATCGATAATGTAGGGGGGGCGGTAAACCCGGGGTAAGACCCGGTTCGACTGCTATAGGGAATGGATAGGTGGGGGCGAGCCTAGGTGTCTGCGAAGCTGACGGGTTTACTAAGGGACAACCCCAGGGGGTTGTCGCCAGTGTTCTAGGGCCCCCCCATGACCCTTATTCGCCCCTTTTCCCATTGCTTTGCCTGTACTCACTGCACCCTGGGATGTCCCCGTCACTGCTGCCTCCCCCAGGCTTAGCATTGACGTGGGGATCCGGGACCGGACCGCTCGCTGTTGCCATAACTGCCTTTCCTGCCACATCCCCGGGGTTGCTATCCGACATGTTCACGTGGATGTCGCCCCCGTTGTCATGCCGGACTCCCAACCTTCCCTTCAATGTTAATGACCGCCCCACCACCACTGCTTCCTTCACAATGCCGCGCCGCCGTGTCTATAGGATGCCCTAGCCATACTGACCTGCCTTGTTTCCGTTGTCATCGCGCATCTCCTACTTAACATTCCGTTAACGAGCCCTGCTCCCTCTTTTCCCTTTCTTCTTGCATATTGACAACCTCTTCTCCTGTTTCCACTCGGCGGTGGACCCTGCCCTGCTGTGGCATTGCTGGCCTGCGTCTAGCCTCCTTGTACCCATGGCCATGTTCCTCTGGGTTCTCTCTTCAGGTAAGTTTTCCGTAACGCGTCTCGTTGACTTTTCTACTTGTATGCCCAATAGACCTGTTGCCTTAGGATTAGTGGCCAGTGGCGCGGCACATGCCTGCCTTACTAGTGTTCCTATGCAAGGCGGCTTCTTCCTCAAGCCATCTCGGTTTCTGGTAAGCAAGCAATCGGTAAGTTACTGAGCTGCGTGTTTCTAGAATAGCTGAATAGGGTCTCCGAATGCGCTCACTGCATGAGTCGGGATTCGGGATTGGGGGATTGGGACTTCGTTGATGCATTTATCTATAATTTTCCCCCACTCTACCCAATCACTGGCGTGCATGCATCTCCACCCTGCTGGAGTACGTACACCCGTGCATGCAGCGTTCCCCGCTTTGCCTGACAGCTGGCGCCCATACATACCCCCATGCACGCAGGCAATTAGTGCACCTGCCGGCGCAGTGCATTCTGGGCCGAGCTTCGGACGTGAAAATGTCAATGGTAAGGCTGCAATGTACTAGCTTTTGTTACTGGTTATGGACAAAAGCGGTGTAAGCGGAAAGCGTCCGCCGAAAGCGCAAAGGAGCGGTGAATTCTAGTTGCCCTCTCAGAGACGTTCTGTGAGCGCGTGAAGCGGGTAGATGCATAAAGCGTGCTACGGCAGCGCCTGTTTGGGCACACATCACCACCCTGTTCACTGGCCCCCCTGCATGCAACGCATTCACCCTTCATCCAGGCATCCCCGCTGAGTGCATCCCCGCCTGTGACCTTACTGCATGTGAAAGCGCTCATGCGTGCAGGCATCACAGTGGTTTCCGAAGGTTCGAGCCCATGCGTGCCAGAAGGTGCATGCTGACATCCCCCCTGCCCAAATGCTGAGCGCGTGCATCCTCGTGCGTGCTCAAGCTTTCATTCGCGGAGGAACCTCTATACTTCATAAATACGGGTGTCTATGTGTGGCATCTACGCCTTGCACGAGCACAGCACCCAAGCGTGCAAGCGTCCCTCTTCCTCAAATCACAGCGCTCATGCGTGCAGGGCAATCTCCACTTTGCCCAACTACCAAGCATGTGTGCAGGCAGGCATCCCCGCCGTGCCCTGCTGTTCGTGCAGGCTACCCAACCCTTCCTTAACGGCCGAACCCCATACATAGGCAACTACCGGTACCAAGCACCCGTGCGTCCCGGCATGCTCGCACAGTTCAAGGTTTGCCATTACGATAATTGCCGCAAACACAAGTTGAGTGCAGCAAGAACAAGCAAAAAGACAGCACCCGAGTGAACACAGGCTCACGCGTGTAAGCAGCACAGATGGCATGCCGAATGAATGGGCATATTAACAGGTGCTCTAGCAAGACGGACCCCTGACGCTCTCCCATTACGGCTCCCAAACGCACAGGTATCATGCCCATACCCGTAGTAACGCGAATGTTTTTTCTTTTAAAGATTTTACCGAATCGAATTAAATTTCCAATACGTTTTACAAACTGAACGGCAGGTCCCGAGGTTTCCCCCGCCACTCAAACATTTTGCCCGGCCCCTTGGAGGCTAGCGTTGACATTGTGAGCGGCCTCCCCACGACGGCTGTAACCCAACCCCAAGTACCATTCATGGAGGCCGGAAGCGCATGGGGGACAAAAGGTGGCAGTTTGGAAGGATTTGGAAGTCCGAGGGCCCGAAACCCCTTGCCTCAGGCCGTGATCCCCAGCATTTTTTTCCGAAGCCCATATCCCCTAACCACGTCCACCCCCCCGCAGCCCCCTTCATCCCAACCATTCCCCCAGCCGACCTCTTCTCCTCCCAACACTTTTACCGCGACCCCTTGAATTTCTGGGAGAACGTAAATGTTTTTACCGGGGAGGCTGGAATTTTTCAGACACAACTTTACCGCCCCAAATAATTTTTTTATTTTGTAAAAACATTCGCGTTCCTACGGATTACTACAGCGCCCACGCGTGCTGGCTCCCTGCTCTTCCCAACCACTGGTTTGCATGCATCTCCACCTTGTATGGGCTGCAGTATGTACACCCGTGCGTGCAGCCTTCCCCGCTTTGCCTGACAGCTGGGCCCATGTACCGGTATGCAGACATCCCTGCACCCCCATGCACGCAGGCAAGCAAGTATGCGGAGTGCCCCGTCCTGCCAGAGTCATTCTGGCACCCATGCAAGCCCCTACCCACGGTATCAGCGCCCGTGTGCGCACGCATCACCGCCCTGCTCACTGGCCCCTGTACTAGCAGCATGCGCCCCCTTCCTAGACGCCAGCGGGGACGGTGTCCCCACACTGGCCAACTGAGAATGCGCTTGCATGCAAGCAATCCCACCTTGCCCCAGCTCAGGCGTCACGAGAGTAAGCGGCAGGCCTGCATCAACAGCCCGTTGTTCCTGCAATCCCCTTGCACATGCTGCCACCATTCACGTCAACTGCAATCTGTGCCACCCATACATGCACACATCACCGCTTTGCCTCACTGCTGGCTCCCACACATGCAGGCATTCCCACACCCATGCACCCCAGTCGGGGCCGGGGAGGGGTGCAGTATATCTCGCCCAGGCGGGGCGGTGTGTGATACAGCTGAAGCGGGACGTAATATAACTCGCCCAGCCAGGGCGCTTCGCAGCCATGCACCAAGGCATCTTAGGCGGAGCCCCCGCCGTGGTGCCCCCGTCGCGAAGAGGCTTCGGGGGGGCGATGCCCACGTCCGTGTGTCCGTCCGTCCGTCCGAGCGTCCGAACGGCAAAATTGAACCTAATTCGCCTTCCTTGCCTGCATATAATTGGGCTTAGCGCCCTGGTGCTTTTGTTTGACTCATCCATTCACCTTTCACAGTCCTGCTTTCGCAACCACACTAAATTATGCCATGCGTGCCCAGCAGATCTCGCCTTCTCACCCGACCAAAGGGAGGCTTGATGGAGTTGCATGCAATTTTATTCTTCTTCCTTCCGTTCATTCGCCAGGACTCAAGCTGGCAAGCAACAACTCGTAGAATTTAGGCTCCGGAGTCCGGACGATCGGAGCAGAAATGCCTTATAGTCCGGTTAACCTTGCTTGGTGTTCGCTGTGGTCACTCATTTGTGGCCTATAAGACGAGCCGTTGGAATGCATGAAAGCTGGGAAGTGTCGTGCACGGGCCCGAGCCAAGGTTCACTCTTAAAGCAGCGAAGCGGAGCAGCAGGGTAACAGGCTAGTATCACTATTGGCATGCTGTGCTAGCTTTCCGTCACGTATGCTGGCTACGGCCAATCGGCGCCTGGGTCGCGTGCTGTCCCAGACAGGCCCTCCAGTGGTTTCCATGGTTGCTGTGGACAGTGGTCTTTTGCGGGCACGTTAGGCCCTTCAGCCGGTCTGGTTGTAAAGGTTACCCCGTTTCTACTGGGCAGTGGGCGGCGCCGGGGTAGGGCGCACAACCCGCATGCTGCCGAAGCAGAAAGGTGATGCTGGTACAGTACTGTCTGCAAATACCCTTCACGCGCACGCTGTGGTTCGGCGGCCGCCCTCGCCTTTTGCGTCGAGGCGACATTCCGCGGCGACGAACATCATGTGGAGCCAACAGCAAGCTGCAGGTCCGCCTTACCTTGTCCCGTCCTTCCATAGTGCAAATGTTTAAGCCCGCTTTCTCAACCTGCCGCCAACAGGTGGTTTTCGTCAGCACCGAGGTGACACCATGGTCGAAGACGGGAGGCTTAGGAGATGTTGTGGCTGCCCTTCCCGGTGCTCTCGCGGCCAGGTGGGAGGGCCCCGCAGACCTACCTGTATCTCGCTTCCTGTACGCTGCCAAGTGTCATAGGCTGACGCAGGGCTCGGTCTTACCCACCGTGCAGGGGACACAGGGTCATGACCGTGAGCCCCTTCTACGCAAACTACCCGACTGCCTTCGACACCGGCTTGGTCGCGCCGGTGGAGATGGAGGTGCAGGTGGGGGCAGGGGACTGCCAAATGCAGCCCGCAGTACCTGCTGCTGCAGCCTTGGGTCCTCTTTCAAAGGGCGGTGTGCAGATCCCACCAGCTACACCTATCGACAGTGGCGGGATAGCTGGACACGGGGATCCTGACAACGGCGCCGGGTTGCCAGCTGGGAGGCAGGCTGGCTTCCCTGCTGGCGATGCCGGCCAGTATAATGCCACAAGCGGTGATGGCGGCAGCGCGGACAGCAGCGACGGAGCCGGCGGTTCCGGCGTGCAGCAGGAGAGAGGATGCAGCAGCGGCAGGGGGCCTCCCAGCGGAGCGCAGCCTGGGCTGGGGGTGCAGCAAGCAACAGTCGCTGCAGCATCCCAACAGCAGCCTTTCACACAAGAGACGGAGCGGAGGGAGGCAGCAGAAAAAGCAGAAGGGACCCGTTGCACCGGGGACCAGCAGCCCCAGCTACCGCCCTGCAGCAGTGGAGTGCAGGATAGCAGCACCGCCTGCCCCAGGGATGACCAAGTCTCGCAGCCCCCACCTGACACCGGCACGGCATCACCCGCAGCCACGCCTGCCACAGCGGTCAGCTACGCCCGCCTGTTCGCATGCCAGGACGGCGACGTGTTACGAGTGTTCGTGGACCACCCGGTCTTCCGAGTCGCCGCCGCCGCCAGCAGCAGCAGCCAAGAACCAGGGTTCGCTCCGCATGCGGCTGCTGCCAGCGGTGGCCACCCAATCCCAGCAGCGCCGAGCGGCAGCAGCAGCTGTGGCATGCAGCCGCGCGACCCCTCGCTCGGTGTGTACACCTACTGCGAGGGGCTGGCGCACGCGGAGCTGCAGGCGCGCAACAGCGTGCTGTGCCAAGCGGCCCTGGCGGCGCCGGTGCTGTTGTGGTGCGACCTGTCCGAGCTGCCGCAGGAGCTCAGGGTGAGCGGGGTGCGCTTGGAAAGGCTTCAGGGGAGTGGGTAGGGAGGAGGGGGCGGCAATACTGCCGGGTGGCAGGTATAAAACCGAACGGAAGGGGACAGATAGTGGTCTAAGTCGTTTAAACTCGGGTTTCTTACCATGACCCATCTATAGTTGCTTCCCCTCCTACCCAGAATCATCATGCCTCCCTGCTTACCCACAGGCGGACATTGTAGCAGCGGATGCGGTGGCGCCGCTGCCGCCCCAGGCGCTGCCTTACGTGCTGCACCGGGGCCTGGCGCGGCCCGCAGCCGTACTGCAGTCGGGCGGGGCGGATCGCCTGCGGGGGGCGATGCAGCTGCGCGCGGGGGTCAGGCGCCGGATGCGGAGCAGCTTCCCAGCAGCAGCTACTGCAACTGCTGTCGCCGCTGCGGGCGGCGAGCTGATTCAAGTAGCAGCATACGACGCCGTGGTGGCCCGGGCGGAGGTGTATGCGGGCGGAGTGCATGCCTGGCAGCCGAGTGCAGCTGGAAAGTCCAACGAAAGGGGTGATGGCACTATTGCTTGCGGGCAGCCGCAAGCACGTTTTGACAAGCACGCAAGGTTGGTAGCAGCGGGAGGACCAACGCAATGGGTTGTCGAGCCAAAGAGCGACAGTCCAGGCGCGACTGAAGCCGCTGAGAGTTTGAGAACTCGGCAGCAGGTGCACCCCCACCCGCCTCAGCGGCAGGACGAGGTAATGTTTGTGGGCAATGACTGGCCCACGGCCCTACTGCCGCTGTGGCTGCAAGTATACCGTGAGGTAAGCATTGGGAAATGGGGGCATCGAGGTCTTGAAACTCTGGGGCTGCCTTTCCTTTCTAACTCGGTCCCAGTATATCATCCTTGGCGCGGGTACCCTGGATGTCCTGGATGTTCCCTTGCTGGCGTCCGACGTCTCACCTGCATTGTGCTTATGCCTAGCCATATGCCTAGGCATGTCGTGTATACGTATATTGGGAGCCGGTATACGGTATTATACGCCTGAATATGCGTATAAAGCGTATTATACGCGTATGCGTACATGGCTGACTGTAGACATACCGGTCTAGGGCCACGCTCATACCGAGTTTCACGATACACAACGTAAATCGGGCTTAGCAGGGCAAACACCGCATGTACCCATCTCTAGGCGCCCACAGCCCCCCTACACGCCAGCTGCACGCCGGGTTTGGGGCGTTTTCCTGTTGTACGGCATACACAACCAGACTTCCCCGTATACGGAATTGGGCTTTTGTACGTATTGTGCATACGCTGCCCTAAACCTTTATACGTGTATTATACGCATAAATATGCGTATACGTAACGTATAGTATAATATACGCCGACATGCCTCCGTTCCTAAAAAATATAATAAAGAACGGCGTTACCGCCAAATATATATTCCCCACATTTTTATTTTTTGTTTGCTTTTCTTTTCTTTATTATATTTTTTATTGTATGGTTTTATTATATTTTTTTATTACACTTAAGTGAACGGCGTTACCGCCTAATAAAAAAATATAATAAAACAAAGTGTGGAGATTCGCCTTTGGCTGTTGACAACTGATTTTTTTTGAAAAGCGACACGCTCTTCAAAAAAAATCAGACGTGAAAAGAAAAGCGAAGTCCACTCTTTGAGTGGAATAAGTGAACGGCGTTACCGTTAAACAAAAAAATCAAAAATTCTTCTATAAACAAAATAAAAAACAATATAATTTAGCCTACTTATGCCTAAACTGTTCAGTCTTCGGCAGCGCTTTTCGACTGCCGCCACCGTTCGTGGATCTGAAGCCTCCTTAAGGCTCCTTGGCCTATTTTCAAAATCCCTCAGGCACGAGAATACGATATCCCAGCGCATTCTGAGCCCGCGGCCCCTGGCAGCTGTCATGGCGCAGGTGGTGGCGGCCAGGGCGGTGTGGGCGTACCCAGTCATGCCCTAGATGAGGTTTCGGGGGCAGCGGTGGCCAAAGCCGCGAGCCCGAAGCGGTGTAGGAGGGCGCAGCCCCTGCCGCGGGAAGCAGCCTGGGCTGTGTCGCCACAGGGAGCGCTGGCATACCCTACAGGAGGGTTGGGGGCTCAGGTTTCTGCCGCCCCTGTGCACGTCGCGGCTCGGGGGACCTCGGCGCCTCCTGCATCAGCTGCTCCCAGGGTCGCGGCACACACTCCAGCAGCAGGAGCCCCAGGCAAGGATGGTAGGAGCATTCCGGTTGGGTTGATTCAAGCAGCGAAAGCGCCTGCAGAGACGGCTGCACCCATGGCTGTTGTCGCGGCTGTGGACATTGGTGCGGCGGCCAACCCGCGAGTTCCCTCGGCTGAGCTCAAGGGGCTCACCGCTGCGAGCTGCTGTGCAGCACACGGGACCCAGCAAAACACTGACACAGGGCCAGCAGCCGCAATGCAGCCTCAGCAGTCATCACTGCTGGCGCCCGCGTCCTCATTGCTGCCCAATTGCATGTATCCGGCAGCAGCGCCTCCCACCCCACTTGTCGCTGTCCAACCACTACCCGCTGGGTCGTGCTGGTTGCCACTGCGCAGCTCACAGCAGCAGCCTGGTGGCAAGCAGTCTGCGGTTGCGTCGATACCAGTATCCCCCTCCACCTCTTGTCCGCTGCCAGAGCCCTCTTGTTCTATAGGCCTGAAGTCAGGTTCTGCCTCCATTTCAGAGCCTGAGTCAGGGGTCATGTGGAGGCGACGCCCTCGCGCCAAGGCAGCAAATGACGAACATACTTCCTCCGTTGCTGCTTCTGGTGCCAGCCGGCTAGACTGTGATAAAGTTGTTACCTCCGCCGCCATTAGCGCGCAACCAGCTTGCTCACCTTCAGGACACCGGAAACCATTCTCCTCTTCGGTACGCCTAGTGGGGCCTAGAAGTGGCAGCAGCGGCAGATGTGAGTTGACTGGCGGCACAGCTGGAACTGCTGAACTGGCCTCACAGCTGGCCTCGGAGCACGCGCTGCAGGGCCAGCTGTTGCGGCATGTAATAATGGCCTTGCTGGGGGTACCGGTGGTCGGCACCGACCCCGCTGCGTCCGATGCAGCAGCGGCAGTCGAGATTGAGGAGGAAGGAGCATGCATGGGCCCGCCTGAACCGAAGGCGGAGCGGCACAACAGCATCGGCGACGAGTCGGCTGTGACGGAGATAGCAGAGCGGCCGCCGGCTCTCCCGCTGCCGCAACAGCCCCGCGGTGCAGCACCCGAGTTGCAGGCCCGCATGCGCCGCACGCTGCGCTCCTTCCGCCGCTTTCTTGGCGTGCGGCTGCGCGGCGCCCGGGTGGTGTTTGCCATTCACAATCTCGCGTTCCAGGGGCTCTTTCCGGAGGCCTCGGCGCGGCGGCTGGGGCTGCCGCTACCCGTCCTGCAGCGCATGGAGCTGAGGAGCGGCCAGGAGCCTGGTGGAGGCGGTGGTGGGAGCAGGGGAGGCGATGGTGGGGGCAGCAGCGGAAGAGGCGGTCCAGGTCGGCTGGTTTCCTGGCTAAAGGCGGCGCTGCTGTCCAGCGACCTTCTAGTGACAGTCAGTCCCAGCTACGCGCGGGAACTGGTGGGTTCGCAGCGCGCATGGGGCGAAGGCACGGCTGGACTGCCGCTCCAGCCACCGGTGTCGCAGCCGCCTGCGTGTTCGCCAGCCGCTCCATCCACAGATCCGCTGCAGCTGCCTCAGGCCTTTCAAAAAGGCAGCGACGGTATATCGGTGCCTCCGGCAGATAGTCCTTGGGGTCCGGTTCTCTCAGGGCTACCGAGCCCTGGCGGCGAGGAGCTTTGCGGCATCCTGGCGGCTCGCGGTGTGCAAGCCGTCATGAACGGCCTGGACGTGACGTGCTGGGACCCGGAGACCGACCCGCTGCTCCCTTCGCACCTGCGCTACAGCCGCAGCAGCGCGCGGGAAGGCAAGGCACGAGCCAAGGCGGCCCTGCAGGCGCGGCTCGGGCTGCAGGTGGACCCGGGGGTGCCGGTATTTGGCTTCGTGGGCCGGTTGGAGCAGCAGAAAGGGGTGGATGTGGTGTTAGCGGCGCTGCCGCTGCTGCTGGGGGAGCCGGCGGAGGGTGCAGGGTACAACTGCTCGCTGGGGTGCGACCGGCGGGTGGCAAAGCGGGTGGTGGAGCTGGAGAGGGTGCGGGGGGTGCGAATGGAGGCGGCGGAGCGGCGGTTGTCCGCGGGTCGCAGGCGGCTGTTGATGCGGCGCGGAGGGGCTGCGTCGATATCAGCACAATCGGCACTCGGGTGCTCGGGAGTGGCCTCATATGCAATGGCTGCTGAAACAGGTGTCAGTGGGACGGCAGCGGTGTCGCAGACAGTCATCGGCACGTCGGGCAACATGGTTATGGCCAGCGACAACAGCATTAGTAATAGCACCGAAGCCACAGGGTGCGGCAGTCGGCACAGCGGCATGCGGTTGCAGGTGGCGCTGCTGGGCCAGGGCGAGCAGTGGCTGCAGGACAGCCTGGCGGCGCTGCAGGGCGCCTACCCGGGTCGGGCGGCCGGCGTGGTGGGCTTTGACGAGGCGCTCAGTCGACTGCTGCTGGCAGGCTGCGACTTCCTGCTGCTGCCATCGCGATGGGAGCCCTGCGGGCTGGTGGCGCTGGCGGGGCTGAGGTACGGTGCAGTGCCGTTGGTGGCGCCGGTGGGGGGGCTGAGGGACGTGGTGGCACCCGCCACTCCCGGTGTCCGTAGGCAAGTTGAACGGGGCGGCAGCGTGGAGAAGGTGGCGGAGGGGGCCGTGAAGGCGGCGAATGCTGTTGGTGGCTTGTTGGGTATTGTGCTGGATCGACCCGTGGGTCAGCATGACGATAGTATGGCGAAGCGAGAGGCGGTGGGGTCCCTTACAAGGGCGATGACTCTCGCGTGCAGCATGTACGGCATGGAGGCGTACGACGGCCTCCGGGACCAGTGCATGGCGCAAGATGTGTCGTGGGGTGCACCGGCGGAGCAATGGGAGGAGCTGCTGCGGCGTGCGGTGGCGGTGGGGCCTGAGGAGGGGGGGCCAGGTGTGGCACAGCAGGATGAGGCATGGGCTGGAGTAGACCAGGGCTATTGTGGAAGAGGGAAGTGCCGGGCTTGGGTTTCACGAGCCGGGGCTGCAGGTGTGTAGTACTGATTAACGATAGCCCTGAGAGGTCAGTTTCTTTTGTGACCACTGTTGGGTTAGAGCGGTGCTATATGCAGGAAAGGGGCACAGCTAAGGAATGGGGCTGGGTGTCCTCGTTAGGCCGAGAGAGAAGAATGGTTTTGGAAGCTGGGTAGGCGTCGGTGTAGCAAGTACCGCTCCATGCATGCATTGCCAATTAACAGTGAATGCAGTAGAGTGTCAGCGGAGTACTAAAGGTTAAAGCGATATGTGAGCAATGTATGAACTTGCAGAGACGTCGGCATGCGGGGGAGTTGAACTTCTTAATGTTGTCCAGGGCGAGGATCTGGACGGAGTGCTTTGGTCCCCCTGCAGCTTGCGACAACACGCCCACCTCAGCCCACTCCCGACGGGGAACACCCAAACAAGCAAAACCCCGGAGCTGACCCCAAAACTAGGAAACCGCAGACAAGGCAGCCTAATCATCGAACCCAGGCACGACACCCGCAGAACCAGACTCACGCACACGAGCCCGCAAAAACCGCCGACCCTCCTCCATAACAGACAAAGCACCCAGGATAACAACACCCCAAACACACTGCTGCACGCCCGAGGGAGGCAAAGCCAACCACAAAGCAGCCCGAGGAACTACATCACCCAACTTGACCTCGAGCTGCCCAACCACAGGACGAGCAACAGGACAGGCACAGAAATAATGCAACCGTGGAGACATCCCCCAAACAACAGACTCACAGCCAGAACGCTCAGGGAATACCAACTTAGCCCTTGAGCCGGTTGTGGTGTAGCCGCCTGGTTAAGCTGGCCAACACATCATGCTGAGCACGTCATGCTGTCGTGTGCTGCGAGTACGCTTACAAGGCGCGTGCGACATTGAAGGCGATGTTGCTGATGTCCAGACATATATTGCACGCATTCCACATGAATCAAACATGAGCAACATCGCCAATCTATGTCGCACTTCCATCGCCAGCCTAGCTCATGGTCACAACATGTTGCAAACGTATAAAGAAGTAGCCACGGACTAAATATTGCATCGCTGGCAGCGCCAAAGCCCGTGGGCGGCTGGGATGAGGTTGTACGACGCTTGATCGCCCGACACCTGATCATTCCAGCGGCTATCCAACAGGCTAGTTAACTTTATTTTCTTATCACTTGTATTCCTTCTATGTAGCGTATCTATGCACCATAGGGCAATCCCGCGCGCAGCGACGATGGAGGATGGAGTCGCTTAGCGCTTCGCCGACGGGCTTAAAAGCTTGAGCGGCAGCTGGGCCGATATGGTGGATATGCACTGGCTCCATACCAGGTATATCCTGTTGATGGCGTATGTTGTCTATTCATCATCCTAATGACTGTTCTGTGATCCTTTGTCGTGCAAGTTGCGGCCTTCCTTGCAGCAGAGGCGTCTAACACGGTGCTATGGGTCATGGACACCAACCGCACCACCACTTGCTAGCTGCCGCGTCGCGTCCGCCCTGGGACGCGCGAAGCGCATTTGCGTCGTCCAAAGCTGCAAGCGAGCCGCGCCTTTCGTAGATTAGTGTTGCTGTGCTTCTTTAATGGACTTATTCGCAATGCACTGACCTTTACTCTTTTTTACGTTTGCAGCCGTATTCACCGCTTCGCGTGGTATTGTCGGCGTTGCATTGAATGTGTGCATGCATCTTGCAAATGCCAGCCAGCTTTCCACGCCGACGCCCTCTGATTTAGTTTCCAAGCTACCGTGCCACATACTTCATCCGCCAGCGGATGTGATCCGTCTGTCTTACAGCAGAGTAGCATGGCAGCCTACCTGAGCTTGCATTTCGGCAGTGTTACATACATATTTACTGCGCATGTGCAAGGACTGCGGTTCAGCTGCAACTGATTAGAAGGCCAGCTATACGAGCAGCTCGTGTATACATGGTTCAAAACACTTGTGTGTCTAGAACAGCAGTAATCGTACATTGATGTTCATTAGCCTGTCACTTCAGCTCAGGCACTGCTGCCTGCCGCATTACCGCCTTTGATACAATGGACAAACGTAGAAAAAGTCCCATTCCTCGCAGTATGACAGTATTTGGTGTAACTGCGCATGTGCAATTAAGACGAAGCAGCTGCATCTTAATAGGCGCTCAGCTATACAAACAGCTCAAACGCTACATAGCAATCTTAGCTGCGCAGTGTGCCTAGAACAGCAGAAACTGGACAGAGACTGTTTCATCACTGCAGTTGATACAGTGTAGTTGAGTAGGACAAGAGCAAGCAATTGGGAGAGGTTCGCATGTGAACCGCGAGTACAGGCAAAAACAGAGGTGACCAAACCTGAACCGTAATTCAAAAACTGCGTAAATAGCTGTTGCTGGATGTAAGAAGAGTGGCGGGTGACGAGTGACGACGCATGTCGGTGATGCTGATGGTTGTCGGAAAACTAAAATACTACCGAGAACTAAAGCCCGCTGACCAACTCGACGCCGGGAGCCCCCGCTCTGGTCACGCAGACGAGACACCACAATGCTGTGCATGCGTGCGTGCAAACGCGCATTGCGTACCTGCAAGCAAAAACGCCGTAGTCAGCACCAGGACCAGCAGCCGCAGTAATGCGAGTAATGCCATGCGCAGAAACATGAACCAGAGCGAGGAAAGGGGGACAGAGTTAGAGACAAAAAGAACCTATATCTAAATGCAAAATGTACGGCAAAGCAGGATGGCATGCGAGACAGGACGAAAGCAAGCACAGCACAACATGAATGCAAATGCAGAAAACAAAAACAAACACAACCGGCGTGAGTGGTCGAGCAGGCGCTGAGCTGTGGCTGCAGCGGTCAGCTGAACCGCACTGAAAAGTAGCGTTGTCTAAAAGCAAGACGACGGTAGCGTTGTCTAGGAGCAAGACGACTGGCAATGGTATGCGTGCAGCGGACAGGCAAAGGCCAGCAGAGGGGCACGGCCGTGTGTGATGCAGTTGATACAGTGTGTATACGCTGGTAGATGTAGGATTTGACCCGTTCTCTCCCTCCAGACAGTTGGAGGTTTCTTGCTGCACCGCTGGTAGCCCAACATATGCACTTAGTGTGCACGCGGGGAAACAGGAGGAAGAAACGCAGGGGGAGGGGGGTAAAAGGGGGGACAGGGAGTCCTCTCCCCCCTCAGGGTGATGCGTGCCGCAAATGCTTGGGAGAGGGGGAGTCCTTCCCGCTCAGGCGATATTCATGCACCAAAAAGGAACACCAAAAGAAACAAGGCTACGACGCTCTGGTGGTGCACATGGCGCTTGCATGTGTAGCAATGGATGTCTTGACGCCCGCAACATCAACATCAATGTCGCACTGATGCACTGTCGGCCCCATCTGCGCATTGTCGTCAATCTTAACACCATTGGATAGGGAATTTGAAAACCTACCTCATGGTATTAAATTTTCATACGCAGGCTGCGTTAAAAGCCCAAACGTCTATGCTTTCTGCCGTCCAAAAACGTCTATGCTTTCTGCCGTCCAACTTAGCCCCTGGCCAGCTACCCCAGGCCAAATACCCCAGGCAATAATGATTGCTGGTTATGAGCAGTCGATTGACATTGATAAAACAGAATTGGCTTGCTTGATGCTATTCGTTATTAGGCTGAAGGGTGTGCGTGGCATTACTTCCAAGCACGGTTGGGCAGAGAAACCGATAGCTACACAGCAAAGCTACAATACCGCGTTAACTTTGTAAAATTAATCTAAATTATGCACGTACAGATGCCAGCCGCTAGCACACGTTTGCGTACTGCTTACCATAGGCATGTCATATGCTTAACAGTCCCTTAATACAGCAATAACCACATGTCATAAGGAAGGTCATAACTACTACCTTTGCATGTGTTGCATGAGAGTGCGATTGGCAATGCTCATAAGTTCTCATTCGCGTTGAAGCCCTTCAGCCTATAGCTTGTAGGATGCCTTTTTACACGAATCCATCGGTAATGTATGGTCGGCCAAAAGGGAAGCGGGACCGTAACAAAGGTGAAGCAAGTATGGTGCGATGATGCCCGCCTGTTGAACAGCGTCATAGTGATAAAAGTAAGACCGAGAGGGAAAATGCGTAGGTAGCGCGTTCCGAGCCATAAGTATAGGAAGTAGGTGCCCTTTCTCGGTGGAAGGTGTGAAAGCGACCCATGGGTCTTGGCTTTTCGGGGGGGCGTCGAAGCCATTGTTAAAGGCGGCTGAGAAATGAACGGGTCCCCGACTTTTGCTCCTAACGGTCCATGTCGCGGCGCGTACATGTGATAATTCTTGACCCGGCGTGCAGTACAGCTTCCTTTGTACAGCAACACGCGCGGAAGGGGGTTTAAGGGGGGAGGGTGCCCCTCCCCCCTCCCAATCATCTATCGGACGTACCTCATAATCACGGTGGTGATTAGCCAAGCTGTATAGCCAAACTGTAAAATACGGGCACACAGGGTAGCTGGCTAACCACCTTTCATTAGGCCAATCAACCGGTCACCATTTGATAGGTATGGCCTTTGTCCGTCGTTTTGCACTGGGAACACCCTCGCCAAAACACCGTGCCTTCCATTTCTGCGCTGCGGTCGCCCAACGTTCAATCGTCGCGTGTTCGCGCCAAATGCATATACGTGCTGCCGTACCGTGCTCGCACACAAGGTAGCTGGCTACTAGATCATTCACCATAACCTGCTAACAAGGACAAACGCCATGACATCTCCAAAACAATTCTCTCAAGGAATCCTCCAGAGGCGCTGGAATCATGCTTTGAGATGCTCGGCCACCGCTCCGTTCCGCATATTAACCCAATAAACCTTAGTATGGGAATGGGGCATGCGGTGGGGAAGGGCCCCACTGCCCCTTCCCCACCGCTGAACCCCATTCCTTCCCCATGCCGGAAATGGGATGTTATTATTCACTTGCAAGCCTCGGGATTGTTATAGGCTAAGATTGTGTGCGTTGCAGCTCATTTAAGGCTTAGGCCTCCATGCCGTGCAGAAAGGAGTGCCCCGAGAAGAAACTCAACAAAGGAATGAAAGAGGGTGGTGGGGCCCCGCGCACCAGGTGTGACAGGATGCGTCCTGTGTGGCATCTCATGGAAGAAGGTTCACAAGTATGGCATTGCGGAGGATTAGTTTGGTAGAAGACGACAATGTCATGGCTGGAATACGCACAGTATTGAGTGTGCACGGAGGATTCATGCGCGCGCTTTTGCGGCCCCAGACTCCAGACGGCCAACCAGACTTGGTTGCCCTGGGGTAACAAGGCTGGGTTAGGTTCCCTTAGGTATCTCGGTTACCGATGTTCGTCATGCCCCTGTAACCCCCCTTGAGGAAACGACACCTCAACGGAGACTTGACGA